GTGAGCACGGCCGACGCGCGGTCCAGATAGTACACGCCGTCGTGCGTCCACTGGCGTTGTTCAAAGAGGTACTTGGCGCCGCACGAGAGAAAGACGGACCGACCGTGCGTGATCGGCGGCCGTCGCAGCCACAGCCGCGTGCTCCCATAGCACACGCCATTCCAGCCCACGACGATCGTGACGAGCATGACGTAGCGCGACCACTGACCAATCACAATGTGGCCGGACGCGCACACGATCTGCCAGTCGAGCTGCACGAGGTCGCACGTGGGCTCTAATGACACGGTGTGCGTCACGGGCGCAACGAACGAGAGAAGGGCGACGGTCGCCCACACGGCGACGCTGTTGAAGGTCGCGTAGTGCGCCGTGTAGGCCTGCGTGACCGCCATGGCCACGTCGTTGACGACGGCGACGAGCCACGTGACCTCGCTGGCCGCGAGGATCGTCGTATACCAAGGATTCTGGACTGTCTGAAATGCACTTATCGACTCGTTCTCATAGAGAAGCTGGAGCGTCGCTGTCGAGAGCACCGAGAGGGCCGTGGTGGCGCGCAGCAGCAGAAGTGGTCGACCGACCCAGACGATGCCGCCGACGCGACTGAGCTCGAGCATGTTGAGCCACTCAAAGGCGCCGCGGCTGGTTAGGATGTAGCAGGTCACAATGACGGCGACACCGAGGAGCACGCACGTGATGTAGAGGACACCCGCGCGGGTGTAGAGCGCGATATTGGTCGAGAGCTGCCAGGACCCGATTTGCTCGTTCGTCGGCAGCTGAAACTCTGCGAGAAGCGTGAGATTACCGCGATCGCCCTGGAATGCTATGACTTCGCGCGTCCCGAGGACCCAGTCGGAGAGGAAGAGCCACGCGTAGAGCTCAAACTCCGGCGCGTAGAAAAGGGGCAGGTGCGCGAGCTCGGTGACGGCGCTCGTGTTGGCCTGCGCGTACAGCAGCAGCTCGATCGAGAGGCTTGCGACGAGCGCTCGAACGACTGTCATATCGAGTGGCAACGTCACATGCTTGTCAGTAAACGCGATGATCGGGGGTAAGTATTCATGGCAAGGTCCGAAATTCGAAGGCACGAGGTCGCAGACGTCGCTAATCGACGGCATGATATCCCACGCCATCGCTAGCGCCACCACGTACTGCTCGACCGTCGGGTTGAGTGAAGCCACAAAGGGGGCGACAGGGTTGCACGGTAGCGAGAAGGAGAGCATGGTGGGGAGCCCCATACTGAGAGGACTGAGACTTGCTGTGCTTGGACACAGCGGCGACCCCCCCGACGTGAAGGCGTATGCTTGCATCCACATCTTCGGGATCGGTGCCAGATATGGCATGGCCACGAGGCCAGCAAATTGTGACTGGACCGCCGCGTCACTGGCCAGCGACGTCTTAAGGCATCGCAAAAGCTCCGCGAACGTTTGTTGCAGTAGACTTGGGACGCTGATGTACATCATGTCGACCGAGCCAAATGGACCGAGGATGTCGGATAGCAAGGCAAACCCCGTCGTAAATGGCGCCGTGATCTCGCCATTTTGCATCAACACCGCCTCCATCGACTGGTTGCCAAAGCCATACCGCGCACTCGACCGCAGTAGCGACAAACCCCTCAGGCCGCTCTCGTTGCGCATCACAGCCGACAAGTCGTTGGCCAGTGCCCAGTACATCTTCCAGCTCGATTGGCTCGAGAAGCGATACGAGCCGTTTTGCGACTGGAGTGTTAGCGGGTACATGGCGTCGTAGCAGTTGACGATGCTGTAGCTGTTGAGCACGCCGAGCTGTTTGTAGTTTTGCCATTGCGTGTCATAATAGCGGATGCCATGGGTCCGCCAGTAGGTCACTTCGTCAACAACCGCAAGCGACCGCGTCAGATAGGCTGTGAGAAGCCACTCGCGCCCGACGTGCGACTGCTGTAGCTCGGCGCCAAAGGCCACGTCGAACGCATCACCCCAGCAGGCGCGCCACGACGCCGCGTCGACGTTGCGCACCAGCGTCTCGAGGTAGATGGCGCCATTTGTGGTCATGGCACCGCAGCGAGCCTGGCGCGTGGCCGAGTTGGCCATTTCCCAGCGCCGATCGACGTCGAGGTAGCAGTAGGGGGTAAAGACCCAGGGGGCGTCGCAGCCGTCGAGGGCGCGGAGACCGGCAACGATGGCCTCGAGGCGAGTGGCAAAGACGCCGTGCTGGAGCTTGGTCGCGTAGCTGAGTGGTGGTGAGATTGTTGCTCCGGTGGCATTGAAGGGGGTTGGGAGGTTCACATGAGGTGCCGTGAGCGCGGTCGTGTTGGGATTTGCGTAGAGAAGCAGCTGCAGCTGGATCCACGTGGCCAAGAAGACATGCGTGCCCGTGCTATTGAAGTGAGGCCAAAACAAATCGTTGGCCAAGCTCACGGCCGACACTCGCATGTACGAGACACTGGCCGTGATGGCACTCACCACATAGACAAAGCCCAGGACGCGACAGATGCGCGCGGGTGCAGCGCTGTGCGCCGTGCTGACTGCGAGACCTGATTTTGCGCAGAAGTCGACGGGTGGACCCGCTTTGACGTTGTCAAGAAGAAAAGTCCACGTCTTGATGTCAAAGGTGTAGCGCTGACCGCGATAGCCCCATGTGAGGATGCCCGACATGCACAGCGCGACACGATCTGTGCTGTCGCTCGGATGTCGCAAGAGCGCGCGCGAGAGCCCGCAGAGGTGAGCGTCGTAGTCGGTGGCGTCCGAGCCGATGGGAGCGCTATATCTCCAGACGCAGGCACTGAGGACCTGGGAAGCAAGTGGCACCGCGAGGTAGAGCAGGATGCGAGATGCACTGCCAATGTAAATGGTGCCACTGGTACATTGCACGTACGCGTCCATGTCCTCGCTGTAGCACGATCGCTCGAGCGTCAACGACGGCGACAGAGGCCAAGCGCGCTCGAGCGCCAAAACCAGCAAAAAAGAAACGAGACTGGCGCGGGGCAGCTCGGTCCGCGCCAAATGAGGGGTCCGTAGTAGAAGCAAGACGTCTTGGAGCACGTACGTAGTCCACGTCGCTTCACCCGAGAGGAGCGCCGCCTCCACCCAGCTGCGTGGAGTCGCGACAAGGCCGGTCACCCCCGGGCTTGTCTGGACAAGGCTCAATGGAGCGGTGCTTAGGAGCGCAATCGCACTGAGCCCGCGGAGAAAGCTAAACGGTCGTCCGATCCATACCGAGCCAATGATGCGGTTGAAGAAGAAGGCATTGGCGCCCGTAAAGGGACTGCACATCATGTAGACAAGCACTGCTGCGGCGACGAGTACGTAGAGAACGTTCAGCGCCGCCAAGAGGTGCCAAATGTGCATCGTCGCCCCTTCCATGCTGCCGCGGCTTGTTGCGTACAGCACTGGCTCGTACGGCGCTGAAATGAGCACGAGCGAGGCCGCGTCGCCCTCGAACGAGACGACTTCGCGGATGCCGAGGATCCAGTCGTGAAGGAGCAGCCAGCCATAGAAAGGCGGCCATGACGAGGGGTCGCTCTCGGACAGGATCGCTTGGTGAAGCAGCTGCCAGTGGCCACTGGTGTTGGTGGCGATTTGTACGAGGCTGATGTTGAGGGCGGCGGTTGCAGCTGTTGCATCGTGCCGCAGAAGCGCATCAATCGGGGTGTCCTGCGTGGCCTGAAGCAGTCGCATGCACTCGGGAGGCTGCATAAAGCACACGTTGTCGGGTCGTATCGAGCTCATGGCACGCGCAAATTGCGCACCGTGAGCAGTGAGGGGCACTGTCAACGGCTGCGGCGAGCTACAGCTGTCCTCAAACGAAAACGGACGCTGCGCAAACGTCGTCGCGATCGGTCCTTGGACGCAGAGCGGATTTCCCGTGTAAAAGGTCGCATTCGCCCACGCTTTGGGTTGCACCGGCAACGCCATTCTAGAGGATGACGTGGCATCACCTGCGAGCGCCACGTATGCCGCGTGCAAACTCGGTGGCACACCAAGTAGAAAGGCGTCGATCGAGACAAACGGACCCAAATGGGCGCGGAGCGTCGCCGCTGGCGCAGAGAAGCCGCCGTTAGCGTCCATATTGCCGTTGAGGAACTCGAGGCTGATGCGCATCGAGCGAAAGTCGTTGGACGACCCCGTGAGGAGGCTAGCGTTCAAGAGCGTGAGGCTCCAAAGGTCGTTGATGGCGCCCCAAAAGAGGTTGACGGACGTGCCCGGGCCTTGCCAGTGGTGGAGCGACTTGATCGTGAACGTATGCGGGAGACCCATCGCGTTGCAAATCGCCATCGACTCGGTGACCCCAGTTTGCCGAAAGTTCTGCCACTGGAGCGTAAAGGAGGTCAAGGCGAACGACTGCCAGTACGTGAGCTCGTCCTCGACGCTGGTGTTGGCGCGCGCGGTTGATGTGACCTCGAGCCAGCGCTGGCCGCGCGACGAAGCGGCGAGGCCGGCTTCGAGCGCCACCGTGAATGCGTTACCAGGGCCGCCCCACGCACCAATAAATTCGGTCCAGATGAGGTTGCGAAGCGTCGCCTCGATGTAGACGGCGGCGTTCGTCGCGTACTTGACCTCGCAGCGGGCTTGACGCGCCGCCGTGTGGGCAACCGCAAAGTGCTGTTCAAAGTCGACATAGCACCACTGCGTGTGGACCTGCAGCGCCCAGGTGGCGCTCAGCGTCCGGAGGTTGGCAATCGCATACGAGAGCGAGGTGAGTTCGTGATAGGCGAGCTGCCGCGGGTACGTTGGGTACAGAGACGTGGTCGCCTCCGCATCGATATACGTCTTGTGCATCCGCAGCGAGAGCAAGTTGACTTGGAACGTCGCATTGGCATACGCATGGGCCACGAGCAGCATGTTGCTGACGTCGGCGAGGAAGGCTTCGTGGCCGCTGACGTTGTAGTGGGGCCACCACAGGTCGTTGTCGGTGCTGACCGCGAGTGTGTGCACGTACACGAGGCTGAGCAGCGACGAGAAGACGATGTACACGACGCCAAAGACGACAAGCAGCGGACTCTGCGTCGATGGCGCCACAGCAGTCGTGGGCAGCACCTGCGCCATCACCAACCGACAAATCTACGTTTCGGAGTCGCTAAATTCGAACCGGTAGACCCGCCTCTTGCGATAGTGCAATAAGGATTGTCCTCGCTTTCGCTGAATAGGATTAGGTTTCTACACTGCACAGTGTGTTACAGTGGCTGGCCGAGCAGCGCTAAATCACGAAACGACGTGTCACCGCCTAAGCTCTGGAGTGACGCAAACTCGCTCACGAGCAGCGTCGTCGACGCATCACTCGTCATCGCCTCGGGCAGCGGCGCTTCGTTGAAGCGAAAGAAAGCGGGCTCGCCATCTAAACTCGCCGGCGTCACGGCCACGCCGTAGCCGCGCAGCAACGCCAAAGCGCATGCCTCCTCGTGCAAGCGGAGGAAGCGCGCCAGGTCAGCCACGGGAAATCGGTCTTGCTTGGTGTACGCCTTGGCCAAGATGACCATTTGCTGGTGCAGATCCGCCTCGAGCTTGCCAAAGCGCAAGGCGCGCGCCAGTAAATCCGTCTCCAGAGGATGGAGTCCCGCGATGTAGTAGGGCGCCGGCGTGACGAGCGCGAGGGTCGATCGCCACGTGGCATCGTTAGGGGCTTGCGCGCAGTGGCGGAGCTCGTACGCAAAGTCGCGCGCATCTTGGTGCAGCACGAGGTGGAGGCGCCGGAACTCGACCGACGACTCGCGAAGAAGGAGCAACACCGACGAGAGCTGATCCTCGAGGAGCTTCTGGAGTGACGCATAGGGCACAGGCCCTGACCGCGTCTCGAGGCGCAAGATGCACTGGGCGAGGATGTAGAAGCGCGCAATCGGCTGAAGGACGTCCAGGGCGAAGGCGCCTTGCAGTGTGAGGTCGCTGCGCACGGCGCGGAAGCGGTCGTCAAGGAAGTGGTACAAGTCGAGCGGCAGCGTGAGCTGCGACGGCAGCAAGCTCAAGAGGTACGTAGTCGTCTCGACGAGCACATGCACGGGGCGCACGTCGTGGGGCTTGATGATGGCGCCCGCGGCCGACCGGCGGTACTTCTTTACGGGCACATACGGTGGGCGCTCGTATTTGCTGCGTAGTAGTTAGCATGTGCATGTAGAGGATAGTCTACTTACGAGAGATCTTGCATCTTCCGGCGCTCCTTGGCCTCATGCAGCGGGCAGTAGCCCAGGCATGTCCCGACGATCGACATAGCCGTGGCCTGGTTCCGTGTCACTCGCCAAATGTCCACTTGCCGATCGACCGCCTGTGATTGGCCAATAATGCAGCCTTTTGGCCAATCACCATCGATGTCAGCCGGACAGAGACATCCATTTTCGGTTTAGCGTCGACACAACACCATGGCGGAGCTCTACACGGAGGCGCGCAGCCGGACCTGCGTCCAGCCCATCCAGGTAAAGGCTAGCATGGCGCCATGAGCTCACCTCTGCGCAGGTCGTCGGCGTCTCGCACGACTCGCCGCTGTCGTGGTCGCCGTCCGGGCGGCGCCTGGCCTTTGTCGCTGGCAACAACAGCATCTTTGTCTGCGCGTCCACGGGCACGGCGAATGGCGTCGTGCTCGAGAAGATCGTCCCGCTCTTCAAGAAGGAGGTGCACGTTGTCATGTTCTTTGCGGACCGCGAAGACCTCTTGCTCGTGGCCGGCGCGGAAGGCCTTGCGTTTGTCAACGTCGAGACGGGCGACGTTGCGCACCGCATTGGCCTCGGCGAAGACAACAACCACGAGAGCGACATTACATGCGCTACGTGGCTCTACGATGGCCTCATCCTCGCGACGGGCTCGAAGGACACGACCATCAAGCTCTGGGCGCGCGACCACGCGGTGCCCACCGAGTGGCTCTGCCTCGAGACGCTCGCCGCGCACAAGGCGCCGCTTCTGACCATGACGTTCAGCGCACACACCAACGCGCTCTTCTCATCCGGTCGCGACTCGTCGATCAAGAACTGGGACGTGCGCAGCCTGCACCCCCACACGATCCAGAAGCGCAAGGACGATGGCAGCATCTCTTGCAGCGTGTCGTCGTCCATGGAAGGTCACCAAGGCGACGTCGTGACGCTGACAGTCACGGAGAATGGCAAGATCCTCTTTTCCGGCGCGCGCGACAACACGTACGCACTCGGACTTGCAACGTCGATGATGATCATTCCCGTGTCGATTTCTAGGATCAAGGTCTGGAACGTAGCGCAGCACCGCGAGATCCGCATCATCAAGGGCCACACGGGCGACATCCGCCGCATCATCCTCCTCAACGACGAGCAGCACATGTACTCGGCGTCGGCCGACGGCACGATTCGACTCTTGAAGCTCCTCGACGTGGTCCAAGACGACGAGACGATTCTCTCGGCCGAGGACCTCGAGCGCGATCGCGAAGTGGCCGACAAGCTCGCGCTGGAAGAGATCCTCGGCGCGTCCAAGTCGGACATGGCGTACGCTGCCGGCATGATCAACCCGCTCGCGATGCCCCGCGACGAGCTGCTGATGTCGCTCAACGCCCATGATGAGCACGTGTTCCGCATGGAAGTCAACCCGTGCGTCCCGCTCATGGCGACGGCCGGCAACCACGAGGTGCGCATCTGGAATATCGACAACATTGCCAAGCCCGTGCTCTTGAACGAGTTTGTGGCGCACACGGGGACCGTCACGTCGGTCTCGCTCCTCCATGACGACAAGCACCTCGTGTCGTCGTCGCTCGACGGCCGTATCCATCTCTACAACGTCGGCAGCATTCACCGCGAGGCCAAACTTGACGTCTACGGCTCGGTGGGCGCGCTGGCGCTGACGCCGGACCAGCGCCTCCTCTTTTGCTCGGGCAACGATTATGACATTCGGGGTTTTGTCATGCAGGACACCACCATTGGGGCGCAGTGCGTCGTTGAGCTCACGGGCCACGCGGGCAAGGTCTACTGCATGGCGTCGTCGCCCGACGGTACGGTTCTTGTCAGCGGTGCCCACGACTACAGGTAGAATCATACTCTGGTCGTGCGTGGCATTGAGAATGCAACTAGTTTGTGCGTCTGGAAGCTGGGCGCTATCAACCAGAGTTACCAAGGCGCAAACGTCCCGCTTCTCAACACGGTCGACGCCGAAATCAAGACGCTGACGCCGGCGAAGAAGTTCAACTCGCCGCACCAAGGCCACATCTTTGCCGCCGTCTTCAACGCGCCCAGCACCAACCAAGCCGTGCGCCTGGCGACGTGCGGCAACGACCACGCGATCAAGCTCTGGCGGCTGCGCGGCCACGCGCTCTCGGAAGTGTGCCTTATCCCGGATGCGCACTTGAGCGTCATCAGCAGCCTCACGTGGGGCAAGCATGCATCGAGCCACCTCCTCTTTTCGGGTGGCTGGGACCACACGATCAAGGTGTGGGACCTCACGGCCGACACGCGGGCGCCGTCCGCGCCGATCGGAACGCTTCATGGACACAAGGGCCGTCTCTCGAGTCTTCAGGTCTCGGACGACGGCCAACTGCTCGTGTCGACTGCCGCCGACGGCACGACCAAGCTCTGGCAGGCGGTTGCGCCCTTCCAGCTCCTCTGCACGTACGTGGGTGCGGTTGAAGGCGGCGCAAGCAGCCTTGCGGTCGGTCGCAACATCATCGCGACGGGGTATGACGACGGGATGATTCGCGTCTGGCCGCTCATGCGCAGCGACGGCAGCGTCGACGCCGAGTACGACGGTCTCTTCTTGACGCCGGACGAGCTCGAGGTGCTCCAGACGCGGTCGCGCGTGACGGGCTCGACGCGCAAGAAGGGCGCGTTCTCGCCCACGGCCGCGCCCTCGCTTCTCTAATCCTCTTGTGATATGCAGAGACTAAGCGGCGATTATGCATTCGAGTGTACATGTTGTCGCTTGGACTTGCGACCATAGCTAAGTAGCACATTAGGGTAGAACAACGCTTCTATTCTTCTCTATAATCGCGTTATTCGACTAGGCCGTCGTGCCATACGAGGGGCGGACATCGCTGACGGGAACGCGCTTGGTCGACGAGTGTATGACCATGGCGGTGCCGAGGATCACGATCGCACTGCCAAGAACGGTGAGGAGCCCGGGGACGTTGGAGACGCCGACCATGATGCCGAGGCAGACGGCGAGGACAGGCTCGAGCAGCATAACAATCGAGACCACGATCGGCTCAAAGTACTTGAGGACCCGGACGTAGCCCATGCCGCCGATGAAGTCGCAGACCGTCACAAGGTACAGCTCGAGCGGCAGCCGGGTGAGATCGACCCAGCCAAAGAGGCCGTGGTTCGGGTCGGTCGAGAGCGAGATCGCGTCCGTGGCGTAGAGGAGCGGCAGCAGTAGAAGGCACACCGTGCACATGTGCAGCCACATGAAGACCATGAAGTCCATGTTGGCTTGACTGCGCACGTCTTTGGCGTGCGTGAGGTACACGGCGGCGCCCATCGCGCCGAGGAAGGCGACCGCGTCGCCTTGGAGGTTCGGGCCGAGGGCCTTTGTGCGACTCAAAGTGTGGTCGAGCGCGGTGACGACGCCGCCGGCGATGCCAATGACGGTGCCAATGCCTTCTTGGAAGGCGACTGGCCGCCGACGCAGCATCTTGCCGAGCACGAGCACGAGCGAGTGGCTGTTGTTGAGAATGTACGCGTGGTCCACCGACGTGTGGTCGAGCGCGTAGAGGAACGTGCAGTTCCAGAGACTGTAGCCGAGCGCGCACAAGAGCAGCGAGTGCAGCTGCGGCAGCGCCACCGCGCCGTTGCAAATGCCTTTGAGTTTCGGGAGGCAGAGGACCGACGTGACGCAGACGGTGCCACTGACCTTCCAGAAGAGCTTGAGTATCGGCGCGACGCCCGTCATGAGGTCGAACGCGACGCCCAAGGACGAAATCGTGCAAAAGCTGCACAAGAGCAGGCCAAAGCCCACGAGCGGCACGCCTGGCGACGCGCTGCTGCTACTCGTCGCTGGTGCCAACCGAGGCGCGAGGAGGTGGCTGGTCTCGGACGCCTTTCGCGGCCGAATCTCAACGACAATGTCAGTCTCCGACTCGGACTCGGTCGCGTACAACGAGTCGGCGCGCAGCTTGGCGTAGATGCGCGGGCCGACGCGACCATGGCTCTCGACGACCGTGGCCATGACGTTGGCGACTGAGAGACCCGTGCCCCGAATCCTTGACGCACGCTCATTGGCTGGTCAAAGGTCGCGTCCGGATACGGTATGTGGGCACCAATCGGATCGCGCGCATGCGATCCAATCGAACCGTCGCGTTGTGAGCGCGGAGGTGTTTCCGTGCTCGGTGCTGGAGGTGCAGGAAGTCGACCATGACGATGTCGTGGCGTGCTTGGGGCAAGGCTGATCCACAGTGGCATGTGGTGTCGATCCACATCCCACGCGTCAAGTCAACACGTCAACACGACGGGTTATGCTGCTGCCTACGTTGTTCCCAGGGCGCGCAAGGTGAAGGAAACTTGGACTACTGTACTACGCTCGTTGCAAGTCTTCATCAGCATGTGCTATCCCACCATGAGATACTATGTCCTTGCTCTTGGCTAGTAGCTCTTGGTGGCACGAACCGACTCGAGCGCATCGGAGAGATGTTGACGGCTCAGCAGCACATTTGCTGGAGCTGGTTTGGCGAGACAATATATATCCAACGATCGAGCTCTAACTGCTGCGACCTTAGTACGCGTACAAGGCAGCGCACAAGGGCCATTTTTGTTGACCTTTGCGACGCAAGCGTGCCGCACGACGGTGGAACGAACGGTCGACCGGATCTGCGACACGCGCCAGCTGGCGCACGCCATTTGATTGGCCGTTTTGTATCCAACTCGCCTGTCTTTCCAGCAACTTCAACCTTTCTGGCATTTGTCGACACTCGACCTTGACCACAAACGTTTATGACGGACAAGAGCAGCAGCAGCGAACTCAAGGTGCTCGTGACGCTATCTCGTCACGGTAGCCGCGCGCCCAACGCGATCGCCAAGCGGCTCTGTCCCGCGAACGCCGCCAACGCGCAGGCGTACCAAGTGCCACCGGCCCAGCTGACGGAGAAGGGCATGGAGCAGCTCCGCCTCGCCGGCAACCACATCCGCGAAGAGTACGTCGAGCGCCAGAAATTCCTGTCGCCGTCGATTGCGGGCCCCGAGCGACTGCACTTCGAAACGTACTTTCGCGCCGACTCGGCCGACCGCTGCGGCCAGAGCGCGCTCTCGCTCGGGTACGGCCTGTACCCGGACGAGACGGGCCCGAAGGGCTTCTCCAAGCAGCCGATTGCGATCTACATGCAACTCATCCAGAACGAACACGAGTTTGCCGCAACCGAAGGGCCGTGCGCCGCCGTCGCCAAGGCCGACGACCTTCGCTACGAGCGCAGCCGTGCGCAGGACCTCCTCCGCGAGAAGAAGGCGCTGCTCGACAGCGTAAGTGCGCTCTGCGGCGTGGACATCCCGTCGATTCCGAGCATGGCCCACGGCGAAGACGTCATCACGGGCATCAAGGACATTGCGGACGCCTTTACGTTTGACGCGCAAGCCGGGCTCCCGCCGCTGCCGGGCCTCACCTCGCAGATTCGCGCCGAGATGGAGCAACTCGCGTTCACGAACCTCATGGAGCGCTACTACTCGACGCCCGAGCAGGTCACGTACTGGGTCGGTGGGTTTGGCGATCTCTTGCTCAAGAACCTCAACCAAGCGACGCAGCCGACGCCGCTCGACGGTACCTACAAGTACTACTCGTACCACGGGCACCGCGAACTGCTCCACGGCCTCGGGAAGTTGCTTGGCTGGGATTTCCAGTTCGAGGGCCTCCCCGTTGCGCTCAACACCTCCTCGTTGCACCCCGGCACGACCATGACGTTCGAGGTTCGCGAACGCAAGCGCCAATTCTTTGTCAACACGTTTGTGTGGTCGCCGCAGACCAGCCGCGACGCCGTGCGTCTCGCCAAGTGCTCGTCCATTGACTGTCCGCTGGACGAGTTCAACGGCATTTTCAAGGCCCAGCTCGACGCCACGGGCTCGTACGTGGACATTTGTTCGCCCAAGGACGTGCTGGCAACGTCCGTCGACGACGAGGCGATCGAGTACGACTCGATCTTGCTCACGGTTGCGCCCTTCATCGCACTCGTGGTGTTTGTGGCCATGGCCGTTCACAGCGCCACCCGCCGCACAAAGCGCGCTGTCGAGTACCGCGTATTGCCATAAATAAGAATAAGAAATAGAGTCGTTGCACCCAGCATATCGTTGGCTCGTGTTGGGAAGCGCAGGTGCCGCACCATGGACGCCGTCGAGCACCTGCGTACGTGAAGATTTGTACAATCCTGACAGAGGATGGACGACTGGCCGTCGCGCGACGGTGAATCGGGTGATCGGGTGATCGCCGATCGCTGAAACATATTGGCGTCGCGACCCTTCAGCACACGCGCCAAACACACACCGCAGTGTACTGGACGGCAGCGGTGGCGCAAAGCAGCCTTGGCACACTCGAGTTGGCGAGAAGCGCCAATGCACAACGTCGTCATCAAACAGGCAGTATACTACTCGCAGACGATGCTCCCATCGCGCTCGTTGGGACTGAAAATACGCGTCTGCACCTCGAATCTGTATCCGGATACATGGAATCTGACGCGACACACTGTCGCCACCCGTCGTCGCCAGCGGTACAGTTGCGTGTTCTCCAAGGGCAAGAAATCATGAGCGACAGCGTACTGTGGCGGCGCAGTAGCCGTCACACAGTGAAGAAATCTCTCAAATTTCTGGTTTTCGCGCTGCTTTTCGGCTATTTTTACTACAATCGCACATCATCGGCCGTTCTAGATCGCGCGATTTGCGCGTCGCTGATTGGCTACATTCGGTGATTGCCATCCGCCCACTTTGCCGAGTCGGATATTTTATTAAAACCATTTTATTCTAGATACGAATCCCAAGTATAGCGTGATGATTGTTTTTAACGACGACATATCCAGAGCGAGATCCATTTTGGCTTTTCCGTGGCAGGCGGCATGTCGACACCCAGCAGCAACACGACGACGGCCGATAGCGAGCTTCGCCTCGTGCTGAGCCTCACGCGCCACGGCAGCCGCGCGCCCAACACGATCGCCAAGTCGCTCTGCCCCAAGAACCTCGGCAACTTTGCCAAGTACCACGTGCCGCCCGAGCAGCTCACCGAGTACGGCATGGAGCAGCTGCGCCGCGCCGGCGACCATGTTCGGAATGAGTACGTGCACAAGGCCAAGTTCCTCTCGCCCTCGATCAACGGCCCGGACCACTTTCATTTCGAGTCGTACTTTCGCGCCGACTCGGCCGACCGCTGCGGCCAGAGCGCGATTGCGATGGGCTATGGCCTCTACCCGGACGGCACGGGCCCCAAGGGCTTTGAGAAGCAGCCCATCTCGGTCTATATGCAGCTGCTCAAGAACGAACACGAGTTTGCTGCGCCCAAGGGCCCGTGCAAGGCGGTCAACAAGGCCGACATCAACCTCTACCAAAGCACGCGCGGCGCCGAGCTCATTGAGCAGAACCGACCGATGCTCGAAGCGATTGGCAAACTCTGCGGCGTGAACGTCTGGGACATTCCCAACCTCCCGGACGGCGAAGACATCATCACGGGCATCAAGGACCTTGCCGATATGTTTACGTTCGACCAGCAGCAAGGCCTCGCGCCCCTTGCCGGCCTCACGCCCGAGCTCCAGACGCAGATCGAAGAGCTGTCGTTCACGCACTTGATGGAGCGCTACTACTCGACGCCGCGCCAAGTAACCTACTGGGTCGGCGGCTTTGCCGACCTCCTCCTCAAGAACGTCCATCAGCCGACGCGGCCGACGCCCGACGAAGGCGGCTTCAAGTACTACTCGTACCACGGGCACCGCGAGATGCTCCATGGTCTCGGCAAGATGCTTGGCTGGGATTTCCAGTTCAAGGGTCTCCAGACCGCGCTCAACACATCGTCGTTGCACCCCGGCACGACCATGCTCTTTGAAGTCCGCGAACGCAACGCCAAATTCTTTGTCAACACGTTCCTGTGGTCGCCCCAGACGGGCCGCGACGCCGTGCACCTCGCCAAGTGCTCGGCCCTCGACTGTCCGCTCGACGAGTTTGCTGGGATCATCACCAACCACATTGCCGAGACAGGCACGTGGCAGCAGATCTGCAATTTCGAACCCACGACGTTCGCACCGGTCGTGCATCCCGCGACGGTCGCGCCGGCCGCCAACGCCAGCGCGGCGCCCCAGTACACGTTCCGCCTCCCGACCTTTGGCGGCCTCCTCGCCGTCCTCGCCCTCCTCGCTATGTTTGTCCACCGCGTCGTCAAGCGCCGCGACACGGGCTACAAGGCGCTCGCCTAGACGTAATACCTCGTAACCACATGCACATATTGTCTATATCCGGGTCCAACATGTGCGTAGCGACTAGGATGCGCATGGCATGTAGCACCTCGAGCCAGGAACCGAATAGAGTCAAGGGTTGGGGTTGCTCACCGAGGGTTCGTATCTCCAGCGGCGTTATTCGTCGTCGTCACTCTCGTCGTCGTCGTCATCGTCGTTTTCGTTTTCGTCAGCCATGTGCGGGTTCTCGAGCAGCGGGTTGTAGCTCTCAATCATGTCCCAGTACTGCTCCACGTGCTTGGCTTCGAGCACCTTGCGCGCGGTCGAGGCTGTTTTGCATTCTTGAAACTTGAAAGAAGCAAACGCCCGCTTGGCGACGATGCCCTTCCAGACCAAGTAGCACTTGGCCTTCTTCTTGGGTCGTTTCAGCGCCGGCTGCGTCGCTTCCGACATCACTTCGTCTTGCGTCAGGGCTTCCTCCGTCTCGTTCTGCGCATCGTCGTCGTTGGTGGCGTCCATCGGGTCGACCTTGGGCGCGCGCGGGGGCGGCCGCTTGGCCCAGTCGATGCGTCGGCACATGAGCTTGACGTAGCTCTTAATCGACTTGGGGCCGCCCTCGACAACGACGAGGTTGAGCTCCGGGTTCTCTTTGACAGTCACGACGGCACCCGTGAGGTGTAGTTGCTGGGCGTTCACGTCCACCTTGAACTGGTGCTGCGGATGCGAGAGGTCGGGTGCCCTACGCGCCATATATGTTGCGATGAGAGGTAGTAATAGGCATGTACTAGTGTACCGGAAGAGCGCGACGTGGAGGTCGCCGGACGCGTCGGCCTTGAGCTTGCGCATGATCTTCTCGCGGCGCTCTTCCGGCGTGAGCTTGCGCGCCAAGTTGCGCATCTCGTGGTTCTTCTCGCGCTGGGCGACTTGGGCGCGGACTTTGCGCTCGATCGCCGACGGGTCCGATACCGCTTGGTCCTATCGCCCATGCATATGTCCACTGGTGCTTGATACATTGATACAAAGGTACCTGGAGCACGCGCATCATGTTGCTGAGTTTGACTTTGGGCTCCGGCGGGGGCAAAAGCCCCAGTGCGATCTTGTCTTGGACCTCCTTGAGTCGCTCGGCGCGGGCCGTGCGACGAATGCGCTTGCGCTCCTACACACGCAAATAGTGTGCAAACGAACAAAAGACCAAGACACCCACCGCTTTTGTCAGCATGAGTGGCAGCGTCACGGGCGCCTCCTTCCGGCCGACGCGGATGCGCGCTGGGTGCTCAATCAAGTGCGCGGTGCCAGCATACTTGAGCTTCATGTCTGCGACGTAGTCGATCACGTCGGAGCGGCCGCGGCCCTTGAGGAACCCGTTCTTGTCCAGCATTTCTTGTTTGTCTTTGGACAAGTACGGAATGTCCCACCACTCGACCTCGGGCACTGGCTCTTCGAGCTTCATGGGCACTTCGAGGCTGTTGGCTGTCGCGGCGGCGGCGGCGGCGTCACCAGCCTCGTCGTCACCGAGGTCCACGACGGACTCCTTGACGTACGCGTTGGGGTTGCGGCCGGACGAGAAGCCCGCCAGCATTTTCTTGGCTTCGCGCGCACGGAGTTGTTCGCCTTGCTTGATGTATGTGCCTTGCTTGACAAAGGTAAAGTTCTTGGCGCCGCGCCTAGAAGCAAGCGCCGTGAAGGACCATCGTGGGCATCAGCGTACGTGTCGCGGTTGCGTGTCTTCAAGCGCGGGTCGACCGTATCGACGCGGTCTCGGTGGTCGACGCTGCGGAACGAAAGGTACGGGTTCACGGGCTTCTTTTGCTTGGCCTTCTCGGCCTCGGCGCCGGCTACAGCATGCATGAGATGGTATGTACGGGAAATGCAGCGACGTACCGCCCAAGTTGGCCTTGAGAGTCGCGACGGGCGCCACTTTTTCTTCAATCACGTTGCCTTCAGCGTCAATATGGCGGCCCTCGTTATCGAGCAGCAGCGGCGCCGGGAGAAACGACCCGCGCCCAATCAAAGAATTGGTCGTGCTGCTCACCGCAGCCTGGACGTGGCCAATCTGTGCTTGCATGGACTTGATCAAGTGCTGCTGCCGAGCAAGCCGCTCGAGTGCAGCCTTCTTGCGCTCGGCGTCGCCGACGGTCGCCTCCAAGTGCTTTGGCAGCTGCTTGGAGATCGCGGCCGCGGCCGCTTTTGCGAGCGCCGCCGGATCGATCTTGGGACGCTTCGCAGTATCAACGGCCGCAGCAGATGGCGCAGGCTCCACGGCCTCGCTGAAGCGGCTGCGCTTCTTCCGTGGCTGGTCCATCGCGGCTCCGCTGGCGTCCATGGCACCACTCCACTCGTCGGTTTGCGGCTGGCAAACCCAAGGTCGCTTTCCGGATACCTTGCCATTATATCCGGATGATCCAGGCCGAGCCAAATTGCACTTGCTGGTCACATGGCACCATCGATGCCTGTGGCCAAGCTCTGTGGCTAGTACCATCACTGCGCTGCGTTTCAACCACTTTGTATCTCCAGCACCACGTGCAGCAGTCGCCCATGCCACAAGCAAACCTCCACGAAACCGGAGCTGTCGTCAGCTTGGGCGATCCACCACGCCACCACCTGAAGGCGATATAACACAAGGAGAATGCATTTGCGAATGAGCCAGAGCATGTAACCTGTGATGCTGGACGGTATGACTGAGCTACAAAGTCGAACTGTGTCTCGTATACCAGCTCCGTGTTGCTGAGTCCCCCTCGGTGCGACCTACGTCTCGTTCTTGGCGAGTACGCGACCTGGGACTGTAGAAGGCAACAATAGTCACAGGTGATGTACATTGCTCTAACGTTATCGCACGAGGATCTTTGGTGACCCGGACTCGAAAGTGCGGGAGTATATTTAACCACGGTGGCGTTTCGGTCTCAGATTAGAGTCGGCCATGCGCCTGCTTGCGCTGCTCAGCGCCGCCTTCCCGCTGCTCCTACCGTTGGCGACGAGCCAACGCTGCACCGCCGTCGAGTCAGCAGCACTGCATGACACGCTCTCGACCGACGGCGCGTGGGCGTGCGCGATGGACGCACTCGTGGCACTGAGCGAACCACTGACGCCGACCGACGTCGCAGCAGTCTGTGCATCGCCGGCGTGCGTCGCCTACTTGCGAGAGACGCGACCGCTGCTCTCGACCTGCAGTAGCTGGCCCCGCGACGACGACGCCGCTTTGGCCACCAACCTCGCCGCCCTCGTCAACGCATGCGCTGACACGGCGTGCAGCTCCGAACAGGACGCGCTCGTGCAGTCGCTGATCGCCGAAGTGCGAAATCCACACTGCGACGCCGCCATGGAGGCCCTCGGACCACACATGACATCCGAAAGCTTCTGCACACTGCGACCTTGCACGCAAGCCCTCCGCGCCATCCTTCCGCGCTTGCCACCGTGCGCCTTGCCGCCTACGGTTGCTGCCTTTGTGTCCTTGCTACACTCGTGCGACGCTGCCCCCCCTAACTTATAAATATACAAGTATGTAGTGTGAACGATGGACCTCGCCCTCCTTCCCTAGCGTCTCGTCCGTCGACGACAGTCGCGACGTTAGCGTTGATCTGCAGCCTTTGTCGCGTGTCGACTGTATGTGAGACAGCAGGACCACACCAAGACAAGGCGGCTCGACGAAGAGCGAGCGCATCGGGGAGGGCAAGAGTGACACCAAGTCGAGTATGACGCGGCGGCTCTCTTCGCCGCTAAACGGAACAGGACGGCGTCGAGGTGTGCCACGCAGGCCGTTGTTGGTGGTGAGTTGGTGGCAAATGTAAAACTGAATTACTTTTGTTATCCTATGAACCTAGCAAGCATTGAAGCATTTAACTTTAACTATGATCTTCAATGTTGAATGTTGAAGTAGCTTGCTGCTTGATATGCACTTGATTTCGCAAAGAGGTGCAACACGACAAGGTGATGCAACGTCAGTGCAAGCGAGGTGCTTGGCCATTGAAGAGGGCGCCGTTTGGCACTGTCCTATTCCCAGTGCAGGCAGAGCGCAAGCCGACGGTGCAGTTGCCCTCGGCTGCACAGCGGTATCGTGCCAGGTCTAGTGTATCCCAAGTGTCGACCAACATCACATGGCGCGCGTCGATGGGGAATTTTCTATGAAATAAGATCGCGACCGCCCACGAAGCGTCACAAAGTGCAATTTGCGACGCGACATGGAGCTCGACCACTTGGACGTGCTGAGCCGCTGCCTCGGCTACGCGCTCACGGCGCAAGAGCGCTCGAACCTTGAGATCGGCTTTCTCCGGCGCCAGGCGACCGAGAACATTGGGGGCATGCGGCTCTGGGGCAAGATCCTTGGCGAGGCGCAGGACTACGTGGTTTGCGTCGCCCACGTCGACGCGCTCGACGTGCCGACAAAGAAATTTTACTTTTGGTACGCGCCTCCCTACTCGCTCGTCACGACTCGTGTGCTAGCACCAACACGTCGCCCGAGCTGCAGCAGTTTCCCGAAGTCTCCAAAGACAAGCGCGACAAGGCCGCCAAGTACACGGGGCGGCTCAAAGGCGATCCGTCGCGCCCCATGGACGAGAGCGACGACGGCCAAGACGACAACAACAAGGACGTCTTCCGCGAAGTCGACCGGCTTGTCGTCGTCGTCGAGGTACTTTGCCGTCGCAAACCGCCTTGCGCGACCGTTCATGGGGCGTATAGGCCATTGATAACGCGGCGTCCATCGTGCCCTGCGGCGCGTACGTGGTCTCGGCCACGCACCACGTCGTGGCCAACCGCCACTTTCAAGGTGGGCTAGAATACATCCACAGGCGTTGCGATGACTGTGGAGGCAGGGCTCACGTGGGACCGCGCGCAGCAGCTGAGCAGCTACTACCACTACCGGCCGGCCGACTCGGCCGAGCGCAAGAGCGCGCTGTCGCAGCCCGGCTTGGTGCGCGCAGCCGACTTTCTCGATCCAATCTCGGTCGACCTCGACGGCGTCTGGGACCTGCGCAAGGACAACACGGGCGCGGCGATTGTCTTGCGCCACTTGCAGTACCCGGGGACGCTCTTCTTCCACAAGCCCCGCTCGAGCGTCTACGGCTTTGCCTACTTTGGCGACGGGCTCAAAAACCCCGACCTCGCCTTCATGCTCTAACACTTGACAAAACCAAACGTGTACTACACATCACGAGACCGTCGTCTCGTTGCCTCTCGGGCGCTTGGGCGGCGGGGTGAGCCGTGCAATGGTCGTGAGGTCCCGCAGCTTCTTGTTGCGGTGCACAGGGTTGAGGTGCGCATCGATCTCACCGCGGAGGAAGAGCGCTTCGCAGGCGCGAAACGCCGCGATCGCCTTGGCCACCGCCTTGGACGTCATGAACGGCGTCTCAAACAGCGGCAGGTCGAGCTGCGCGGGCAGCTGCAGCTTTGCTTGGAAGCGGCGCTGCTTCGTGGGCGTCACCATCTCGTTAAACGTAAAGACCGGCGACAAATTGTACTTGGCAAACTGCGGCAGCGACTGGCAAAACTCGTTCAGACGCGAGATCGCAGAGTCGAGGTCTAGCACCGCGCCCGTCTCGTCCACCTACGCCACCATGTCAATAGCTGCGACCCGACCTGGTATTCCAACCGTGAGCGACGACGGGATCGCTGCGTCCTGCGTCGAGTGCGAGACCGTGTACTGCAGTCGGTTCGTGCTCGCAATGACCGAGAGCGGCTGCGTCGAGAGCGTCACCGCCTTGTCGCAGCCAAACTCGAGCATGCCAATCTCGTTGGCTTGTCGCACGAGCACGTGGAACTGCGTCGCGTCGTCGACGGCCATCGCGTCCGTGAGGTAAAAGCATGCGCCGTCCGCGTGCCGGGCACGGCCCCGCACCTAGTGCGACCGATCGCCAAAATGCAATCTCAGTCGGAGTACGTACTTGGATGAACATGCGGGGGCATGTGATCGGGTCGGCGCAAATGACCATCGCGCACATTGGAAAGTCGACGCCTTCGCACGAGACCGACGTCGACACCATGACGCGCGTGTCGCCCGACTCGAACGCCGAGAGGAGCTGCGTCATGCTCGGCACGTCAAAGGACGCCGCGTCTTTCGAGCTCGCTTGGCCGAGCATGCACCCAAAGAGCGTCCCGCTCGGCGGTGGTGGGAAGCGCGCGTTGAGGTAGTCGGTGAGCGCACGGCACTCGGCGCGTCGGTTGACAAAGATGACGCACTTGAGATTGTCGGCGGTAGGCGGCGCGTCCGTGTCTTCGACATCGTCGTCGTCGTCGTCACTCAGGTCCGAGAGAATGTCTTCGAGCGTTTTTGGCGCATTGCTGTCATTGTCATAAGCGTCCTCGTCCGTCTCACTGGCAGCATCGTCCGACGCAGAGGTCGTCCCAAGGGTCTCATCATCGCCCGCCGTCGTGTCCACTGGCGTCACAAAGAGGCGATCGCGGAGGATGTCGACAATCTTCTGGAGCTTGGGCGTGCAGGCAAACGCGACCTCGTGGCACTTGGAGCGGCAGAGGAGGAGTGCAAAGATCGCTTGCGGATCGAGGCCCGTCATGTGACCTGCCGTCGTGCACTTGAGCGACGCCTTGCGCGCTTGGCGCTCAATCTCAATCTCGAGGTACCGGTAGAGGCACCACGGCCCGAGGTTCTGGTACACGCTCGTGCAGTCCATGACGAGCTTGGCGAGGCGTGCAGAGCGCTTCTCGGGCGGCGTCGCCGCGCCATAGTCGGCCTTGGTCATGAGGTACTCAAAGACGCGCAGGCCATCGACGGCCTCGAGGAGCAACGTGACGTCGTCCTTGTCGGCCATGAAGTCATCACGCGCGGGGTACGTCTCGTGCAGCATGGGCGCGCAGGCCGCGTACAAGCCCATCGCATTTGCGTCCATCGTGATCTTCTTCAAGGTCGCCTCCAAGTTGCTCGCGCACTCGAGCGTTGGGCAGGCCGTCGTGCCAAAGATGCGCGGCTTCGACACGGCCGCATTCTTCTTGTACTCTTTCATGATCTGGTTGTACGGGTGGCGCTTGGCCGTGTGGTGGCACTCGTCAAAGACGAGGAGGTTGATGCGCTCAAACGTAATGTAGCCTTTCGCGAGGATGTTGCGGAGGATCTCGGGCGTGCAGACAAGTACGGAGTTGAGCAGTAGCTCGTTCGCCCACTGCGTATGGTCCCAAACCTCGACTTCGCGGCCGCAGTACGCCTTGACCTTGAGCGTCGTCAGCTTGAGGATCTTGGCGTGGATCTGCGTCACGAGCTGCCGCGTCGGCGCCATCACAAACGCCCGCTGCACCGAGTAGTCTTGCTCGCGGAGGAGCATGATCGACACGAACGTCTTGCCGATGCCCGTGCTACCGACCATGACGACGTTCGTCGTCCGCGCCAGCGCCACGACCTCTTCCTGGTAGTCGCGCAACGACGCCATGTCGTGCTCGTCGATCAGCAAAACGCAAAATGGGCTCACTCGGCCAAGCGCACTTGATCCAGACAGTCTACAAATATCAAGCTATTGTAAAATCGCACTTAACAGGGTCCTAGCTCTTGCCACCTTGAAGTCGCAACTTCTCGAGCCCGTTGGCGCGACGCACCCTTGGTTTGCATCCCATGACGACGCCCGTAGCCTTTCAATAGGGTAGGTACATGCATTGCACTCGGTGGCGGCGCTTCCAACCCCGGCCAAGACGCTTTTTTCACGACTGCAACATGGACTTTTCGAGATTTTGGCGCATTGCGTGCGTCCACCGCCCATGCCGGCAGTGACAATGTGTACACTTGACGGAGCGCGATCGCATGACACTGTCCGTGGCGCTCATGGAGTCATGCAGCGTGCAAACGAGGCTTAGAGATGGTGCACTTGAGCCGCGGGTAGGGTTATGTTGTTCAACTGGTTAGTACAGTAGTTGTCAGGTTATAATATGGCTAGGGTTCGACTAGAGTGCTCGGTCGAGATGTGTCAATAACCGGAGCGACGATGTAGGTACGTGTTTCGAGGATGTCATGCTAGCCGGTCCCGACCGCTGGTTTGCCCGAGATGCCAAGCGTATCAATATCAAGAGAAATAAAAATTAATGTTGTCCGACGTTATGGTCAAAGAAGCGAATATATAGCTACTTCCTCGAGAAGTCCACGACCTCCTTGTCGTCGAAGAAGCGCAGTACCGTCGAGCGCGGGTCGATCAGCGCCTGGACGGCGTGGTCGTTGCCATCAGGGCGAGCGCCGAAGCACTGGTGCACGGGCAGACCAACGACAGCCTCGAGGATTTTTTGCCGGCTGATGCAGGGGAAGTCGCCCAACCGCCTCGACGACCAGCTGCGTCGGATCCGCCGACGAAGCGAAGCGAGAAGAATCTCAAAGCCCGTGGCCTTTTTGAGCGCTGCGAAAACGCCGCGATCGACCGACGACAGGCTTGCGTCAAGCCGGGTTGACTGCCGTAGACGTAGCGGGCGCAGGGTCATACACGTCGCGCGCTGTGGCCGTGAACTTGGCGACGGCTTCATGCAGCTGCTCTGGGAACTTTGGGCACGCGCCGCATGACACCACGTCGCAGACCAAGACCGCGCGCGCAGCCGTAGCAATTGCTAGTCAGGATGCAGAACGACCCGCCACATCGTTTAATCCGGCGTTTTTCTCGTGCTTACGAAGTGTGCTATGGTTATCACTGGTTCAACACGCCACACACACCGTCCAGAGCGGCTGATGCTTCTAGTCGACACCAGGTTTTGTTCGAGATGACATTGATATCGTGTCATACGCACAGCCAACAAGCTACCTTCCCTAGGGACGAGGCAGGCTGCGTTGGATCTGAAGGCAAACGTTCGATCTTGGAAGTTGATCATCTGGACCCGAATCAGCTTGATACATTGATACGATCGTTGCGCCACCTCCTTTTGTGCATCGCGTGCCCAACACACCACGAGAGAGATACATGTTTTTGAATGTAGAGACGCATATAAATGGTGCTAGTAGCAGCGCACGAGGCGCCGCCACGCTACGTCTTTTGTGGGCAGCGTCTGCTCCAGCGTGAGCTCTTCCCGGGCAATGTCGTAGCAGTGGTAGATGATGTCGTCCTTCGTAAACGGGTGCAAGATGCGCTTCTTCTCGCGCGTCGGCGTCACAATGCCGTACTCGTACACGACGAGGCTGCCGCTCGAGAGCCAGAGGAACGATATCGGGTCGCTCATATGCACGATATTCATCAGTATGTGCTTGGTCGACGTGTCGTGGTCGGCGCGAAAAAAGGTCGTCGAGATCTTACGAGAGGCGATTCGAGAGCTGAGACGTGAGGCCTGCGCCCCCTCGGAGCGCGGCAGCGGCACAGTGGCGAGCGCCGAGATAGGGTCGACGTCCAGGAAGCCGTCGCCCCAGCTAATGGTCATGGCCGTGCTCGACCAGAGCTTGGCGGCAGCAAACGGCGCTTTGGTTTTGCCAAAGAAGAGCGGGTGACGGCGCCAGTGCACTACGTTGTGGTAGTGGCGCCACCACTGGACGCCGAGCGCGACGGGCAGCGCGAGTAGGAGAAACGCCGCAGCCACCGAGAGCGTGTCGTGGTAGAAGCCCGAGAGGCGGTTGTTCATGTCAGTAAACACCTCCGACATGTACAGCGCAATCACAGTGCTGGGCTCGACGACAAAGACGGCGCGGACCGGGACGGCACGGAGCATATCGACTTGAAACATTGATACAAGAGCGAGGAGGCACAAAAGCGAGAAGAGGTGCCCGCGGAGACCAATCGTGCCGTTGGGGTGCCACACACCGACGTTGATGACGAACGAGAAGAGCTTGACAAAGAGCGCAAGCACCCAGACAGCGCGAAGGCGCACTGCGAAAATGTAGCAGATGGTGGTGAAGGGCAGCGCGACAAACTCTGCGATCGTCGAGTAGAGCTGCTCGGTCGCCGTATATGTGACGGGCGCGTCGATGAGGTGTGCAACAGCGTAGCAAAGCACGGGGAACCAACTGCCGTAGACCACAACTTGGCTCGGCACCAAAAGCATCGCGCGCACCGCAGCTCTCTTGTCGCCGTCGGTCGCAACGTAGCAGCCGAGAAAGAGCATGACAAGGCGCAGTCCCATGTAGGCTTGCCCAATCGACCGAAACCCTTGGGTGTACGACGTCCAGCTCTACACAAAATATGAGGAGGACCTCGAGACCACACGTGTGCGCTAACCCCCATGTTGGTCCAGATACGGCTGCCGGCGTAGCGGACTTCGTCCAGTGCGATCGTCACGTTGTTTTGCATTGCGCGGAGGACGGTCGTCGTGTCGAAGGCGGAAAAGCCCACGTACGCAAAGCCGCCGTGGCGCCGTGCTGGGTCGGCCTCGGACTCTGCAATAAACACGTCGATGGTAGCGTCCGGGTACTGCGCCTGCAGCGTCATCGTGCGTGCTGTGATGTCGTTGACGACCGAGACGGCCGCCCGCGACGCCCAGCTCTTGCTGCAAAAGAGCGGTCGCCCGATCGCGTTGATAGCGCAGAGCGACGCGACCGAGGCGTTGGAGTACGAGACCCAGATCGACCGGTACGCGGTGAGGTCGACAAACTGAAACGCAATGTAGTCATAAATGCGGTCGAGCCGGTCGTCCTGGACGCGCAGCGAGTACTTGAGCGTCGTGTTGACGCTAAAGAAGGCTCTCGGCGCGGGTGCCGCCGCTGTGGCTGCGATGACGGTGTTCCAAAAACCTACGACCTACGAGCCGCTCAGTGCTGCTCGAAAGAAGACCTGCGCACCTCGGGCACTGGAATGGCGTCCGACCCGCAGTCGGCGGCGTAGTCGAAACATTTGGGCCACAGATTACGGTTGTAAACGTAGCCGCGGACAGCGGCGGCCGACGGCGACGTCTTGTACGTGGCGACGGGGAGGGACTCGACCGAAGTGTTGCCGCTCGTTGCGCGCCACGTGGTCGTCGACTGCGTATAGTGCAGTATCGAAAGAGGGGTCGGAAGGTCCACCAAGTAAACGTTGGGCTCCATCGACGTGCCATGAATGCTGCCGTCGGTGGACGTCGTGCGGGGTACATCGGTCAGCAGCAAGAGGTATGACACCACCGAGATTAGGGCGCGCCGGAGCGAGAGCGGCGTCGTGCTAAAGTCGATGGGTTCGTCGGTCTCGTCGTCGGTGGCGTGTTGGCGCGTGAACGCGGCGCCGCAGACGACGGGCGTCGCATCCTGGATGCTTGCCAGCATGCTCGAGTGGTTTTGGCGCCGGTTCAAACTCGGTGAAACGCTTTTTTTCGACTTGTCTCTTGGCGCGAAAATGACATATTAAATGAATTGCGTTATGTGTTACCAGAGAAAGAGCATGTACTTAGGGGCTTTTTGACAAGTCATAGTACGCGTCGAGGGTCTTCTTGGTGAACTGGTGGAACACCATCGAGTTGTCCCAACGCGAGAGAAGCGGCGGCACGCCGAGCGGAAGGTTATCGCTCTGCCCCGCGCTCTGCGGGTTCATGCCTTCCGGGATGAACATGGGCTCGTTGTGCTCGGGACCCATAAAGACCGCCATCGTCTCGCGGTTGACGTTAGGCACTTGCGGCCCACGCACGGCGTGCGGCGTCGCCTGGAGGATGCCGCCCGTAAGGATCTGGGACGTCTCGCCAATCTGGTACACGAGGTGCCCCTTCGGGATGAGCGCGCGAACGATCTGGCCGTCGCGGTTCTTGATGTAGAGTCCCGCCTGGAGTGTAGAGCATGAGCGTTTGAACCAAGTAGATCGAATGGATGTCGTACGCTCGGATCCGGGTTGTCGATCGTGGCACCGCTCATGTCGGTGAAGAGCGCTTGGACAAGGCCCGTAAGCGCGCTGTGGTCGTTGTGCCAGCCACACCAGCTCGAGAATTCGGCCTCGACGCTCTCCGACGACACTTCGCGCTTCTCGAGGTCCGCCTACACGACCATATATGAGCACATGGATGGTGCATGCGCGAGGAATTGCCGCACCGCAGCCATGGCAAAGTAGTGGAGGAGGCGGCCGACGCACGACCGGCTTTCCTTGATGATGCGGTAGAGCTTCCCGGCTTCGTACGTCGGGCACTGCGACTAAGGTGCAAGTTCCATGAGTTTTTACGTGGTACTGCAAGCCGTTGCGTACCTCGACATACTTGTCGCACTGCTTGGCAACAAGGAGACCCGTGCTCACAATGAGCTGCCCGAGCTTCATGAACGCATCTTCAAGCTCCGGGATTTCCTCTACAAGGCGCACTTCAGCACCATGGTCAAGATGCAGCGTCGCAAAACGTACCCGTGGGCCAAATGTTGTCGTGGTAGAACGTCGGGAATTGCTTGATGAGCTGCGCATCGTCCGTCTTGACGTTGTGGAGCGGGTTGTTGTAGAACGAGCCCTTGGAGTAGTCGGGCTTGCCCTGGAGGTTCTCCTTGCCGTGGCTCCAGCCAAAGCCGTAGTATGCCTTCTCAAGCTCGTACTTGGTCTTGACGTCCGCGGGCAGGTTCGCAAAGCGGAACGCGAGCGGCAAAAGCTTTGTGCGGAGCTCCTCGAGGCCCGGGACGTTGGCGACGGCCATGATGCCAAGGCCCTTGGGGCCGTAAGCCGCTTCAATGAGCGAGCCGAGCTCGTTCGAGTCCGTCAAGGTGGCAAAGTCCACGATGGGCACCTGCTGTGCAGGAAGGGCGGCGATCGTTTCCGTCGGCATTCTGAAGTGTTGCGATACAGGCAAATGGGAAAATGAACCGAGAGGGATCCCCGGACGGCGGTTGGCAGAGCGCCGCCAGATGGCCAGGCATGGGTGATGATTCGCCTTAAATCGGTGATACATTTGCTCCGCCGACCAATGAACGAAGCTAGCGCCAAGACAAAGAGTGGGAGGATGAACCCTTAGCGGCGGAAGGGCACTGTCGCAGCTTGAAGCTTACGCGAATGCCTTGGGTTTTGTATGCTCCGTTTCCCAACCGGCGCCAAGTTGCCGTCTTGAGCAACAAGCCCAGTCATTGGCATCGAGAGTTTGCATGCAATTTTAGAAAGTATATATACATTTTGTGTGTATAGTATGCATATTTGATGCCAAAGCCAAACACTGACCATGTGAGCCGGCCGCAGTTTCACAGTTGATGCCTTTCTGGCGCACCTAGGTAAGCGATTTGATTAGGCTATAAAAATGCAGTGTTTGTGGCATTGGACGGTTTGTTTTGCAGGTAAAATGCATATTGCATGTGTTTTTTTTACGCCCAAGTCTTCTTCTCTCGACATCGAAGAATTCTGGCGGTCTGTGCGCTGGCAGCGCGCATGAAGCTGCACATGGAGAAGTCTCCATGGCTGCAACGCGTCGGTTCGAGATGGGTCTTTGAACATCAAGCAGCTGGCATTCTTGCGCAGACAGCGGTGGGTGCACATGCGCTGCAGTAGCACAACAATGGCGATTGCAATCTTACTGAGCCAGCGACCATGGCACGTAGATCGAACATGCCATTTTGATCCCATTGAAGCACATCCACTGCACGGATATGCGTCACGGCTACATCGTGTCGATTGAGCTCAGTATGCAGCAAAATATATGTCATCCCTCGCACATGGGCGAACGATTGTTCAGAAACGACCAAACCTCCTAGAGGGCGACAGCGCTCAGGTTTCGACCAGTCGGGTACTTCACGACAGTGCCAGTGGCTTTCACGTCAAACACGCCCTTTCTTCGTCCTTCGTCGGGCATTGCTCTGTGGCTCCGCTTATTCGAGAAGGTATCTCGACATAGAATTGCTGCGACTCCAACATTGCGTCCCGGCATGTAGTTGCTTGGCTTGATGTACGAAGTCTACCAGCCGACTATTGCAAGGGTAAATGACTGACGCCGACGACCAACCCCAAAAACCAGTAGTAGAAAAGACTAGTAAACTTTGACGGACGAGACACGAATGTTTTGGCCGGCCTCCTCAAGCTCGTATTGCCGACAAGAGTCCTTTGGAAGGAAGTGCGAGACGGGGTCGCTTTCCACGGCGCCCGGCACCCTCGACGTCGACGCGTTTTCCTGGGACGTTCTTATTGACTTCCTTCTGCGCAACGCCTCGTCGCGCGAGGCGGCTTTGCGGTGGTGGTGCAGCGGACTCTGTCGACGCGGGCTTCGAGAACGGAGCTGCATGCCGCTGCAGCGTCTTGCCAAGCGGCGGTGGCCGACGCAGTAGGATCGCACCGGGCATGACCGACGTGTCCGTGTTGCACTGGAGCTCGGACGTCTCACAATTTCCTGCGACTCCAGATTGTTGATCTTGTGTGCTAACGTGCGGCCATGGCGACCACGAATGCAGCAATGCCTGCGCTGCAAGCGGCGACTCGAACGGGTTCTCGGAGGCAAAACCGAGAGGCTCGTCCAAGTTGAATCCCGCTGTCGTGGTTGACATGCACATTGCAATCGGAGAGAGCGAGGAGGCCTCATGGTGCTGTTGGTGTCGACTCGTGCGTGAAGCGGCGTCATGAGGTGGCACCCCAGAGGCTGCACAAGCGTTGGTGACAGGTAGTTCGCGCGCTTGAAGCTCGCAAGGACTCGTCCTTGCGTCCGAGAGAATCGCAGTGGAAGAGATGACGCCCGAGAAATCGGTTGTCAATGCAAGCGTGCGATCCGCCAGTGCTGCTTGTTCAAAGCGGAGCGCTGCTCGAAGCCGTTCGACGAGCACACTCTTGAGTCCTCCGACGCGCAGCCCGCGCTTCTTCAGCGCAGCCTTGAGCTCGACGACCTTGAGCGTCGATGCATCCAGCTCGAGGTCGTCCTTGACGCAACCGTCGATGGCCACGGACGATGGGTTCGTGTGGCGCGATGCCAGCATGGCTCGAGTAGTAGGCCCTTTGGATGCCACCGCCTTGGCGTGGCCGACTAAGAGCGCTCTCTTGCTTCGTTGGCGCTTCTTGGCAACGTCCATAGCGGCGCCTTCTGGGCTACAAGGTGCGAGGATAGCGCTTATGTCCAAGATCGATCGCAGCCGCCGACGCGTCACATCCTTCGCAGATCGCTCGCAAAACGCGGCGAGCCATGACACACTATCTTCCAGCAGCGTATCGAGCGCGCTGTTTGCAGTTTGCGTCCCGCGGTCGAGGTGCGTCCGCACGGCCCGCATGTGGTCTTCGTCCATCGCCAAGGATCGGCAATATCGCACTTATACGAACCCCGTTCTTACGTGGGTGCGCTTGCATTGCGGTGTTTGATTGGCTAAAATAGGATGTGCCCATCTTCAACGGCAATTCTCCTTTTCGTCTCATAAAGACCACAGGCTCGCTGCTGCCCTGCACACGAGGCGGTGCTGACGTAGACCTGATACGTCTCTACGTTACAATAGCATATATACATGGCGTATGTGCTTTACGTACTAATGCTCTTCATCTGCCTCCACCGCTCAGCTCGCTAGATGGGTCAATGAGACGCTCTCGAGACATGGATATGTTTAAAACAGCAATTGTTGACTGATGTTCTATACAAACATCAAGATGTCGGATTTGTATCTTTCGTTCAAAATTGATCTTCGACGACAATCCTTTTTCGCAATCTAAAATCCAAGTATGCAGGTCGCCCGCGCCGTGCCCCGCCGCCTCCACCGCGCTGCGGGCCACTGCCGCGACGTCACTGCGTCCGCCCGCGTCAAGCCGGCTCCGGCGCCGCAGAGCCTCGGCCTCATGGTCGTCGACGGCGCGCTCCTCCTCTTTGTCTGCGAGACCTTGAACCAGGTCGGCGGCAAAGAGCTTAGCCTGGAGAAGGCGCTCGCACCCATGGCGCTTGGCGGCCTTATGTTCCCGCTCTACGCGCGCATTGACGCCTTCTTTTCGATGATGCACAAGCCGGTCGTCTCGGCACTCGGGAAGCGCATCTTGCTCATCAACGCCATGTACATCTCGCTGCCGCTGGCGTTTGACGAGATCATACAGTCGCAAACGATTGCCGGTATGACGATGGCCTTCACCTCTGTATACGCACGCAAACCATAGAGGTCGGTCCCGCGCGCATGGCGTACAAGACGACGTTTGGCGCCCTCATTGGCGTCTCGACCTTCCTCGGTGTGTGGGGCTCGTTCTTCGCCGCCCACTCAATCCCACGCAGCATTGCACGCCGTACGTACTTCTCTGTCAACGACGAGTCGCTCATGGCGCCTAGGCATCTGCAGCGCGGTGGCGTGCGACGCGGCGTGGAAGACCGTGCGTCCGCCCAACGAGCCGCGCATCCTGTACCCGACGCCGTAGGAAAGCACACCCTTACTTGCTTGCTTCAACTGCCTCGCTATCGTCTAACATTGATTGCATTCAATCCTCACCATGCTGAGCCATGGGCGTGCATTGCATCGGGGGCTCGGCGATGATTCCTCGGCAGCGCATACCGCTTCGCATGCGACCGGCTGGAGACATGTAGCCGCCTCGCCCATGCAGCGCGGCCGCCTCGGCGGGCGCATGGGCGTGAGCGTTGAAGACACGACAAAGCTGGTCGGCAGTAGCGACCTCCTTGACGGTCGCATGGACATATGACCGGCGACGACAGGACGAAGCTGGTCGGTCGCCTTCTGTCTGCGGATCGCGCGTATCCGGAAATATCCGAATAGCTCGCCAAATTGCCTTGTCGAGTTTGCCCAAAACAAAGTGTGGCGAAGGGAAAGCAAGATCCTGGACGAGCTGCCGCCGACGTCCACTGCTGTACAGGTACCCGCCTGCGCAGGCGCATGGCGGCGATGACTCATGCGCGCCTGGTAGACCGAATCACAAGCACCATGAAGGGACCCCGCGCCTCCTGCGAAGGCTACCTGACGTTCCGGACGAGCCCGTACTCGCCACCGCCCATGATCCGATCCTATAGCATGCTCGTCGGGACGTGCTTCTACTACTACGCGTACGTACGCGATCCGCATCCTGTATCTGACGCACACGCTATCTAGCTCGCAAGAAGACGCCGAGGTCATGATGCGGCTCAAGGGCGAAGTCGACGTCATCGGCGCGCAGGAATGGGACGGGAAGGGCAACATGCACATCTACACGAACGGCTTTATGTTTGTGACGGCGCAGAACAAGGTGTTTTACGCCTACGCCGACACGCCAATGGACAAGGAAAAGTGGCTGCGCGCCATGCAAACCGCCGTCATGACCACCGTGCCGGTGCTGAGCACGCTCGGGATTAGCTCGCTCTCGAGCCACCACGAGCTCATGTCGCCGTCGTCCGGGACCGAGATTGACGTCCACGCGCGCTGCGCGGTCTGCCCACAGGACGATGTGGCCGCGGCCGCGCTCTTGAAGTTTCGCTGCGGCAACTGCGAAGACACGTTCTGCGATCGCCACTCGCTCCAGCGCCTTCCGCTGCCGCACAAGGGCTACTACTACGCGATGCGTGTTTGCGACGAGTGCTACTACGCCCAGCTGTTTGTCAACTACCTCAAGGCGATGAACCAGCGGCTCTCGTCGCGGACGTGCGTGTACCCCAAGCCCCTCAACGTGAACGCGCCGATCGAGCTCATCATGCCGATGGGACCGTCGCACACCCCCGCGACGACGATCGCACTCGACCTCTTCAAGGACGGGGCAATCACGGCCGAAGAGCTCGAAGTGCTCCTCCTTGCCGACAAGCGGTACCTGGATCAAACGACCGAGCAGCCGGAAATTCCACTGGACCTCAAGATTCTGGCGCTCCACCGCGAGTTTGCGTCCAAGTCGTTTAGCGTCTCGCGCGCGGTCGTGCTCTTGCACCAGAACTTGGAGAGCGACCCGCTCTTGTTCAAGCCGATCCTCGAGCGTCTCCTCTCGTTTTCGTACGACGCCAAGATCAACCAAGTCGAGTTTTACTGGCCGCAAATCGTGCACGCGTACCTCAATATCCCCGTGTTTGAGTTTGAGAAGCTCTTTTGGATGGACGAACTCGTGCTCTCGATCTGCTCGCGCTCGATCCACCTCGCGCTCTTGCTCATTTGGCAGCTCCGCGGCGCGCTCGAAGACGCCATGGACCCGGTCGCGACCTTGCGCTCGCAAAGCACATTTGCCCGCGTCGCACGGCTCATGGTGGAGATCGAAGTCCACGTCATTGGCTCGTCGCGCCAAGAAGTGCTGCAGCAGTCGTGCGCCAAGAAGATTCTACCGATCCTCACAGAAGACCAACTCGCGCTCGTCAACACACTGATGGACAACATGGCGGCGTACCGGCGTGACGCATCGCCGTCGACCGCGCCGGTCGCGACGGAGCTCGACGCGCAGTACGCCGACTTTTCCGGGTTTCAGCAGCACTTGCTCAAGCCCAAGGAGAAGACAATTCTGCCGCCGGCCCCGATCGCCGACTGGGCGACCGGCAACGCCAAGCCCGAGCCGCTTCGCCGTCGCCGAACCATGAGCATGGCCGAAAAGTCGGTGCTCGCGACCTTCTACGCGGAAGAGTGCGCCTTTGTCGAGCAGATCACCGACATTGCCGAGAAGCTGCGCTTTGTGCCAATGGCCGAGCGCAAGCCGATGCTGGCGAAGCACCTCGAGACGTTTTCGCTGCCGCCGAACGCGTACATCCCGCTCGTGAAAGCCACCGACCCGTTCGAGCAGGTCGTGCGTCTCCCGCCCAAAGAAGGCACGGCGTTCAGCACGAAAGCGCGCGTCCCGATCATGCTCATTTTCGAGGTCGTGCGCGGCGCCAACTCAAGTCTCCAGATCACGTCGCCGGGCAGCGCGCGTCCGCTCATGACGCCGCAAGCGTCGACGACCGCGGCGTACGAGATTGACGAAGAGGTCCGGCACTTGATCAACCGCCAGAGCATCGACAGCGTGTCGTCGGCACCCGAGACGCCGTTGACGACGTCCGCGGTACCGACCACGCCGCGCCCTGCCACGTCCGATGATGACGACGACGATGACGACGATGACGCGCAGCATGGTATCCACCCAATGCCGCTGGGGCATGCGACGACCAATAACACGTCGTCGGGCGCGCTCGAGATGGACCTGTCGTCCATGCACATCTCGGACGAGGTGATGGCGATGGAGCGCGATCGGAAGAAGGACCTCGAGGCGGCGTTTGGCGAGTCGTGGCTCTCGAAGCGGGAGCGGATACGCTTGAGCTCGCCGCACGGACACCTCCCGGGCTGGGACATTGTGTCGATGATTGGCAAGAGCAACGACGACATGCGGCAAGAGGTCTTTACGCTGCAGCTGATCCAGAAATTCCTCGAGATTTTCAAAGCCGCCAACCTCCCAATTTGGCTCAAGGTGTACCGCATCATTGCGACGTCGTCGTCGGCCGGCCTCGTCGAGACGCTCACGAATGCAATGTCGCTCGATGGGCTCAAGAAGCGCGACGGCTACGTCAGCCTACTGCAGCACTTTGAAAAGTCGTACGGTGGAGCGAGTACCGAGACGTTTGCCTCTGCGCAAGCCAAGTTTATTCAGTCGATGGCCGGCTACTCGCTCGTGAGTTACTTTCTCCAGATCAAGGACCGGCACAATGGCAACATCATGCTCGACAACGAAGGCCACATCATCCACATCGACTATGGCTTCCTCCTCGGGATCGCGCCCGGTGGCAGCTTTAGCATCGAGACCGCGCCCTTCAAGCTCACGACCGAGATGGTCGACACGATGGGCGGCCCCGACTCGGAGGGCTTCAAAGAGTACGTGACGCTCTGCACGCGAGGCTTCCTCGCGCTCCAGCCGCACTGCGACGAGCTCTGCGACCTTGTTGGCATCATGGCGCAGCACTCGCCGTACCCGTGCTTTGCGAACAAGGACGTGGCGTATGTCCTGTCGCGGTTCCGGTCGCGCTTCAAGGTGGCCATGTCCAAGCACGAGGTCGTGAGCCACATGCTCTACTTGATCCGCAAGAGCCACGGCAACTACAGCACGCGCCAGTACGACGCGTTCCAGCGCATGACCAACGGCATTTACCCCTAACCGCGATCTAAATCGGTGTGTATTTGTATTGGGACAGAGAAAGTTATACCGGTACAGGTACAAAGGAGGTCGGTGGTCGCAAGGGCAGACAAGCAAGAGCAGGCGCCACTGTACGCTATCGAGTTTCGTGTTGGGTGCGAGTAGCCTCCTCGTCAATGGTTTCTCAGCGGAATCTTTGATCTTGATCTTGGCGCTCATTGCAGCACGTGACCAACGCTGGCGCGACGGCTGCATAGACTATGCATCCGAGCGCGATCGGGCAAGGATGTCGAGACCAAGGTTGTAGGTGGTGTATGTGGCCAAGGCAGGTGCACTGACGAGCATATCCCCCCGCCGCAAGAGACTCCAGTCGCATCGTGCGGTCCAGTGTATATGAAGCCATGACGTGGCGGCTTTGCTGCTATAAGAAAAATAAGAAATTTTCGTCACGACGCAAGGCATATCTTTCTCTTGTTGGCATTACGAACGCCAAAGAACTGCTGCGCGGTGGGCGCCTTTTGTCATCCAAGTCGGCCGCCACTCATTCGATGGAACGTGATGTTAGCAACACAGGGCGCTGGCAACTCTCAACGCATGCGACCGAGTAGCCGCACACGACCAGGTCTACGCATGCCAAGCGCCGACGACGCTATTCTTCCAGATATGTGCCGACTATTAATTAGTGCATCAGGCGCTCGACATTCCAACTGGTATCGCGACCATGGCGGTAGCTCGACAACAAGATGTTTGGGTGGGTCGCGGCATCAGATCCGAGAAATCACGGTGCAAGTAGTTTAGTAGCTGCGTCTAATAGATCGACGGCTGTCGGAAACCCAGTGCGTTTCGGGTATATTAGCTACTACTAGTACTCTTTGCAGCTCGAGTAGCCACGTCGAGTGGCGAGCGCTCTGCGAAAAATGGTGGCCACTGCCGACCACATCAACCGCTCGTTTCTATGCGTTGCGCGACAGTGAGCGCCGGCGGCACGCAAGCGTGGGACCGCGCGTCCAGCGCTGAAACCAAAGTGGCGTTCCGGCCTTGTGGTGCGTGGCGACAGAGTGGGCGTGCAAAGAGCAGGCGCGGCAGTTTGGTCCGACGCAGGCGCGTGGAGACGGAAAGGCGGCCTGTAACGAAACGCTCGGCCGTTTCATAGCGTTCGTAGCCACCCGTTTTGGCTGAATGCAAACTGAGCAACCCGCGCGGCAGAGTCTCGTAAGAGCCGCGCTTGAAGACAACCAGCGCCTCAAAGCGCCCTCCTCTTCTCCTTACCCTGTCCGTGCACTTACTATACCAGGTACAGGTTGATCGTCGGCGAGCGATATATCCTTCCGTGCGCAGAATATTGGCTGCTGGTTCGTGTTGAGCTGGCGACACGCTTGTTGTTTGTGGTGCGCCTCGACGACGCAAGTTCAAAAGCGCGCAGCTGGCCCTGTTGCAGAGATTCTACCGTGTACACCGGGGCCCGATCGCGTCGACCCGCTTCCGTAAAGCATCGATGACGACGTGCCCCGGGTGGCCCAGCCGGCGATTCTTCAACCTGAGCGTGGGACGACGCCACGTGTCGCACGGACGGCTATTGGGTCACTAATTTAATTCGAGGCGTCATACGCGGGCCCGGTGTTTTTATTTTGCATGCGTTCAGCGGGCGCTGGCAGCCCGAGATGTGATGGCCCAGCTGGAAAGCGTCTCGATGCGAGCCAAACGATCCGGCGAGCTTCTACTGCATTATCACATTTCCTTCCAACTACGGACAAAGCAGCCGGTATGGCGCTCACGTTGCCCCACTTCCACACCTCGACGTCGTACGCGCACCCGCTCCTGACCGTGCATGTGCAGCCGACCTTGGACCGCCGCGAGCGCCGCTTCCAGTGCGAAGAGCCCGGCTGTGGCAAGCGCTTTAACCGCAAGTTCACGCTCAAGGAGCACATGAAGACGCACACGGGCGCGCGCCCGTACATTTGCGACTACGACGGGTGCACGTCGAGCTTCTCGACGTCCGGGAACCTCAGCCGCCACAAGTTCACGCACACGGGCGAGAAGCCGTACGGCTGCACGATCGCCATGTGCACCAAGCGCTTCTGCACGAAGGAGAAGCTCGCGCGCCACATGAAGACGCACTCGGGCATCCGCCCGTTCTCGTGCAAGGTCGACGGCTGCCACAAAAAGTTCTCGACGTCTGGCAACCTCGGCCGCCACATGAAGACGCACCGCAGCCACGTGCTGTCGTCGCCGTCGACGCAGGGCAGCAGCGGCAGCGAGCACCACGAGCACCACGGCCAGCACGAGCTCGACCACGACATCATCTCGGCGCTCTCCTCGCCCGGCAAGCAGGCCGCGCAGCAAGCGAAGTGGAAGGCCGACAAGCCGCGCTTCCCGACCATCATGCGCAGCCAGTCGGACTTTAGCGTCCGCAGCTTCCACACGCCCAGCATGCACATTGCGGTGCCCCAGTCGTCGTCGTCGAGCGCCGGCCGCCTCCAGTTCAACCTCTTTGACTCGCCGTTGAGCGCGTCGAACGGGTCGTCGTCGTCGTACACGTGGCCGCCGGCGCAGTTCCCGTCGTCGACGTACCACCACCACGGCAGCAGCTACAGTTCGGGGCTCACGATCCAGAGCCAGTACCAGAACAGCAGCAACGGCGGGTACAAGATCGAACACGACCTCCTCCGTGACGCGATCCCGCAGTACGAGCCGCTGCCGTTCGACCGCACGGGCGCGCCCAAAATCTCGCGGTCGCAGTCGGACGGCGCCGTCCTTGGCCACTCGGACTTGATGAACGACTTTTACTACGACCACTAGTCGTCGTCGCGTCCTTGTACAATAGAGTAGCTTTGTTAGATGGATTTCCATTTTAGTTAGTTTGCGGCAGGTACTAGACCCGCCAACCACCTCGTATACCCCTAAACCTGTAAAAAGAGAACGTACACGTCAGGCTCTGTCATGCGTCGTGCAGAGCTACCAAGCAGTTGGAAGTGAGTGGGCAGCTCCAGCGGCGAGCTCTGCACGGCTTGCGTTGCGTGTCGAATGCTGCCGCGTGACTCACACGACGGCGACGACTGGCATCATCCGCCCGATGCCGTGACGACGGTGATAGGCGCCGCGGATCGCGCTGCGGACAATCGTTCGAGCAATTACGCGCCGAGCAGCTGCGCTCTCACCAGCCGCAGAGGCGGCCACCAGATGGTACAGCAACTGTACCAGATGAGATCTTATTGTCGCGTGGACTGTGTCGGCGTCCACCGTGCACGAGGAGGAGGCTCGGTCATGCCGTTGACGCAGCGTCAATGAAAGCAGCGGGTGCTGTGCAATGGGCTACGTGGTCTGCGAGCGTACGCGTGTCAAAGGTCGTCGGAGTGTTCGTACCGCGACCGATCGATCGAACGAGGAGGAGATTGGTGCTGGAAGGTCGTCGAACGTTCGTTCGAGCCTATTTCGAGCCAGCGTCATGACGGCTGCCAAGAGCGCCAAAGACACCTCGCCGCCGGTACGACGACTAAAGACACGCATCGTCGCCGACTCTGGTCCTGAGTAGCGCGGCCTCGGTGTATTGGATGACGTGGGACCGCCGCGCGAGGTGAGAAACCGGCTGCCGCTGACCATTTGCAGTCGGAACAGCATCGATCGACTGCAACTAGGTGCAGCGAGCGTCATCGTCCTTGCTTCGAGAGCGTTCTGCGAACTCCAAGACGCCGACGACCATGGCCATCGAGACGACACCACGTGGCGTGTATAGGACCCGAGACAACCCGGCAGCTGACGCCGACGACGTGCCAAGTAAAGGTGTCGGGAAAGACCGCGTCTTTGGCCCGTCGGCCGAGGCCGTCCGCGCCGTCGTGCGCCTCCAGCCGCTTCGCCCACCCAGCACGATGCTCACGCAGCGCTCTGAGGGCAGCCTTGCGACCGTTCAGCACCACCCGCTACCGGTAGACGCCGTCAACTGCAGCCCCGTTGCTCATGCAAAGTGTGGTTTCTAGCGCTCGCTGACGGCGCCCGCGCTTGGCAAGCAACCCTTGGTCATTGATGCAGCGTCCAACGTCCGAACTGATGCATGCATGGACGCTCTTCCTCACGCTCGACGCTTGTAGAGCCTTCGCCCGCCGCGTCGTGCACCGCGAACGATCCTCGACGACCTCGCGTTGCTCTCGCGCGCGCTGTGCCCGTTCGTGTGCACATCGGCGCAGTGGAGCGGTCTCCGCCCGCGGCTTCTGCGGCTGCTTCAGAAGCGCGAGTTTGACACGCACGACGTCGTCGCCGCCCGTGACTCTCTCTCGCCGCTTCTCGTGCTCTTGTCGGGCTCTGTGCAATGTGGGGACGAGGCTTCGCTCACGGCCGGGCAGTTGGTCGGCGGCGAAAGCTGGCTCTTTGATGCGCCAACACGATCCAAGGTTGTTGCGACGTCGCCAACGACCGCGTATGTGCTGCCACGGTCCGCGCGGACCGAGGTGCTCGCACTTGCGACGCCCGAGTCGCTCCTCTCCCACGCCACGCGCCTCATCTCCGTGCTCGCCAAGGACCCTACATGGGCAGGCGTCGCGCCGAGCGACCTGTGGCAGCATCGGCACACTGCTACCACAGCCTCCTTGCGCGCCGCCTGCGAACCCGCCAGTGTCCACCTTCTCTTGCACGGAGAAGCTTCTTGGCACGGATCGTATGGCACAGAGCTCGAGGTCGGAACCCTTCTCGTCTCAAGCTCACCACGCACATTGGTACCAAGCGTCGGGTCGGTCTGGGTGCAGCTCACTCGCGCCGACGTCGCAGCGCTTCTCGGTGACGACGCTGCTGATGCCTACTTTAGTCGATTTGAGGTACGACTGGAATCACGCTAGTAGGTACTCACGCGATCGCTCCAGGGCGAGCCAAAGAAGATGCGATCCAGTGGCATTGATGAGTATGAGCTACTGCACACGCTCGGGGCCGGCGCGTTTGCCTCGGTCTCGCTGGCCATGCATGTGCCCACGAGCGAGATTTGCGCTCTCAAAATCATCCCCAAGGACGGCCTGCCGTCGCTCAAGCTCGCGCGTCAGGCTCTCACCGAGCGCGACGTCCTTGCTTCCGTGAGCAGCCCGTTCATAGCGCGCTACGTTATGTCGTTCCAAGACGACTGGAACCTCTACCTCGCGTCTGAGTTTGTGCCAGGTGGCGAGCTCTACGCGCGCGTGCACCGTCGTCCGGCTGTCACCCCCCATCTCGACGAGTCGGCTGTGCTTTTCTACGCCGCGAACCTGGCGCTCGCCCTCGACGCGTTCCATAGCAGCGGTATTGTCTACCGTGATTTGAAGCTCGAGAACGTTATGCTCGGCGCCAACGGGTACCTCAAGCTCGTCGATTGTGGCTTTGCACGGCGCGTCGACGACCGGCAAGAGGCCATGACGCTCTGTGGCACGCCCGAGTACATGGTACGCTGATAGTGCGCTTCACGTTGAGGTTGACACATATCGATGCAGGCACCCGAGCTAATTGCGGGGCGTGGGTACGGACGTGCTGTTGATTATTGTATGCGCTCTGACTGCCATCATGATGCAACGGGTCATGGGCATCTCTGGTAGGGGCACTGGGCGCGCTGGTCTATGAGATGGCGACTGGCCACTCGCTCTTTGCCCGCGACGACGACAACCAAACGCTCGTGATGGCGCGAATAAGCGCTGTGGCGACCCTCGGGCTGCCGTTCACTCCCGAGTTTGCAGTCGCTTGTAGTCCTCGTCTGCGGACGCTCGTCCAAGGGCTGCTGCAGGTGGACCCGACACGGCGGTTAGGGTCGCGCGGGCTTCGGGAAGTTCAGCAGCACCCTGCCTTTGTGAACATGGACTGGAGTGCGCTCCGGTCCCACACCATCGGCGCGCCGTACGTGCCACCAATTGAGCATCCGCTCGACACGCAGCATTTCCTACATTTGGACGACGAGTATGACGGTCCCGATGGCACCGAGTCGCCCCCCGCCGAGCTCCAAGCAGCATTTGCGACCATCTTTGCCCAGTTTTAGCTCACGTCCACAAGAACCTCCTAGTTGTATTGTACATTTTTGGAGCTTTTGGCCAAAACGTCTGTTGCATATACAGTAGTACAATTGGACTAGAGCAATAGGACGCTGAGCGCAACCGTCAAATGGCGCTTCTTGCGATCACGAAGCCCGTCAAAGAGACGCGCAAAACGCTGCATCTCGTCATCGCTGAGCTCCGCGGTGCGCACTTGCCGTGGACAGAGATCGTCGACAACACTGTTGCGACACGTCACCTACCCAGCGTCGCCGACTCGCAAGAGAGACTAGTGGGATGACATACGATTGCGTTCGAGACCGCCATGACGTTGGCACTGCACTGGTCCTTGACAGCCGCGTCGAGCGACGACAGCCTAGCCCACGCGTGAGGCGCCGCGCATTACTCGAGGTATTACGTCATATCGTGCGCTAGCTGATCGAGGACGCTGGCCGTCGCGTCTTCTTGCGACGCCGCCTCGTGCCTGCTATTCATGAGGAGACATGGTCGGCGAGAGGAAGAGACGCACGGTAGGCCATCGAGGACGTTTTCCCAGTGGTGCCAGCGCGTCGTCGAGCAAAGCTACAAATTAGCTTGTGAGCGACCACAGTTGGGGTGAGATGTACCCCGAGGGGTGGTGTCAAGAGACACTCGTCGTGGACCGAGCACGGGGTGGCGAGTGGGACGAGCTTGGATGCGCTTTCCCAATGCCATTCCACGCGCGGCGTAGTCAAGAGCGTGGCCATGAGAAGCCCGAGGACGGTGGGCGCAATCGCGACATTTCCGGGTTCGAAGCGCACGCCACTTGCCTCGGCGAGCGCTCGCAAGTCGTCGAGCCGCAGCGCGGCAGCGTCCGGCGAGAGGTGCTGCGTCTTTGTCACGTCGGCAAAGACGTCGAGTAGCTGCGACGGCGTGAGGCCTACAGGCAGCGATGGCTCTGACAGCGGGGCCACCGGCTGCGGTGGCAAGTGCGTCTGCATCGCCCGCGCGGCTTGGTGCAGGTACCGCGCCTGGTCGCTGCGCGCCATGGTCGGATGGTCGATCCATACACGCAAGTTGACGGCCGGAAAGGCCATGATGAGGAATGGAATCGGAGACGCCGCGGACGGTGGCGTGGGCGGTGGCGTCCGCGACGCACGCGGGCGCTTGGCCGTGGGCGACACGACGTCGACGTCGTCGACTGGTTTCGTGAGCTTGTGCATGCAGCTATGATCGACAAAGTACAGCATGTCGAGCATGCGCAGGTAGAGCGCGACGTCTTTGCTGCCATCGATCGTCGTCGTGCGCAGATAGAGATGGCAGGCAAACTGCGTCTGGTCACCAAACCGTCTCGAAAAGCCGCAGAAGGCGTGGTCGCCGACGTGTAGCCCTGCGCAGAGCCCGAAATCACCCGGCAGAAGCGGGCGCAGCACATCGTTGCTGGTCGCGTCCTTGCTGTTGGCGAGAAGCGCCGTGAGCGCGTCGGTCGCGACTGGGTCGGGGCGCAGCCACGGCTGGGTGCTCAAAAACGCCTCCAAGTCCATCCGGAAATGCAATGTCGTATCCGGCGTATCGGCGTCTTTTTTTTACAATCCCTCAAATAGCTTGCGCTTTGTATGGGAGCGTACACGGCGTCAAAAGGACTCAACTTTTTGCATCCGGGTTTTCGACTTTCGACGTCCAGCAGGCCGAAGCGATGGTACGCGGGTCGCGCTTGCGCCACTGCCACTCATGCTGCGGTGGCATGTACCTAGTCGCTCAACAGCAAGCAAGAGACCCTCGTGAAGAGCCTCGTGGACTTTACCAGTTGTTCGCGGACCGAGGCCATTGCCCTCCTCAAGAAGCATGCGTGGAACGTCTCGACGGCCGCCGACAAGTACTATGAGGAGAACGCCAACATGTAAGCAAATGCGCTGCGCAATAGTGGCTCATGCAGTGTGGTAGCGCGAGCCTGACGATCGTGAACGAGGCGACGATTGCCGCTTGGTTTGACACATACGCCGGTAGGCTCGCCAGTCGAGTCATACGATGCGCACAGGCGACGCGTAGACTACGACGACCCGGACTGCATGCTCGACGATGGCATCCTCAAGTTTTGCGACGACATTGGCATTGACGCCCAAGACATTGTCGTCCTCGTCATTGCGTGGAAGATGCAGGCGGCGGCCATGTGCACGTTCACGAAGAAGGAGTTTGTGCAGGGCATGAAGGAGATGGGGTGCGTCACCATGTTTGTGCTGCAGAGCATCGTCGAGCCTGCGCTTGTAGGTGTGAGTCGGCGAGCCAGGTCGCGGCCAAGCTCCCCGGCCTCCGCGCGCTCCTCGCCGACCCGCAGAGTTTCAAGCCGTTCTACTCGTTTTGTTTTTTGTATTCCAAAGACCAAGGCCAAAAGAGTCTGAGCAAGGAGATGGCGATTGCGATGTGGGAGCTCGTGCTCGCCGAGCGCTTCCCGAAGACGAAGGACTGGATCGCGTTCCTCGAGAAGCACAACAGCCACGGCGTGACGCGCGACACGTGGGACCTCTTCTTTGACTTTATGCTCAAGGTCGAGACGTCCTATGACGCGTACGACGAGAACGAAGCGTGGCCCGTCCTCATTGACGATTTTATGACGCACATCGAGGCCCAGAAAAAATAGCTCCTCGGACGTAGCCCCTAATGTAGTCCTTCTTCATGATTGCATACATCTCACGCGGACCCTACCCTCGCCACCTGCGTACACGTACCAGCCGAAGTTAGCAGTTGAAGTGGTCATACCCTTGGACATGCCATGCGCACAACTGGTCTAGTGTGCTACTGCGAGTACCTGGGACTCGACGTCATACTACTAGTATATGTACTAGTAGTTGTGATCAGTGAAATGGGCTGTCGACTGAGCACGACTAGGAGGAATGCTGGATCGGGCGGCCGTGGACCGGACTGCTGCAGCCCACGTAGGCGCTGTCGTCGCTGGCGGCTGGCGCGTGGTGCCACCCCATCGCCGTCTTGCGGAATTGGACAAGGGTACCGATGCCGAAGAGGACGAGCGTCCCGGCCATGTACCCCCACCACGCGCTGCCAATGTCGTACGTGTAGTCGCCCGACGCGGTGCGATTGCGCAGGGCTTCGAGGTGGTTGCCGCTCGGGTATCCGCCCGCAAAGTACCCGACGCCCCAGAGGCACGCGACCGCGCCGGCCAAACTCGTCGCGACGATCAAGAACGGCCGCTCGAGGCAGCGCGCGAGGAGGGCGCCGGCGAGGCCAAAGATCGCAATGAGCACGTAGAGCATACCGGACGGGTTGGATGGCCATAGCTTGTAGCCAAAGGACGTGTTGACGACAAAGGCGAGGAGGACGCCGGCGGCGGCGCCGATGACAAAGAGCCCGGTGCGCCAGAGGCACACGACGGTGGCGCCGACGATGAGGCCACCCGCGACAAAGCAGACCCAGTGCGCCGTCGTCGCGTACGACTGCGTCGTAAAGATGGCCTCGGCCAAAAGATACGCGAGGACGGCGCCGACGCCAAAGCCGCTCACGAAGAGCACCGGTCGGAAGAGCCGGTAGCCGGCCAGCGCCACGATCAAGCCGAGGCCAATGCCGACGCCGGCGAGGATGCTTGGCGGCAAGTCGCCGTTCACAGTTGCGTTCACAATGTGGTTGGTCGTCTTATCAAAGGAGCTGCTGCCGTCGATCGTGAGGTTGACGGCGCCCGAGGCGGCGACGCCGAGGAAAAGCACGCGGGCCACGACGTCCATGGACGAAAAGATACAAAACGCATTGCGAAAGGTCGCCGTCCAAACCAAGCATCGCACTTGCCAGCCAAATCGAATTGGCTGCTAGGGTATGGGTCTCGACAAATAATATAATTTGTCTCTATGGGAGTACGCATGCATATGTTGCAAGCACCAAAGTTGCAACGCTTCCGGCTCAGCGCTACATTTTTAGTGATCTAGCCAAGAAATCTTGAACCAGAGTTCGAACTGCAGTCGACTCTCGCTCCAAGCCGATTGTAAGAGTCAGCCCTTTTCAGCGCTGTGGTTGTGAAAGCTTGTGCAGTCGCGTAGGGTTAGGGTCCAGCATCCTTTACACGAATAGTGTCGGCAAAGTAGGCTATACTTCGATTCCAACAGTGAGATGCGAGAGCCCTTCTGCAGCCCGTCCATCACAACCAAGGTCGAGGCAAGTTCGCTGACGTCGCCTCAAACGACCACTGGCTGCCACCGCACCGACCCGGAAACGATGCTCGTCCCTGGCCACCACGCCCGAGAGCTCGTTGTCTTGGGCACCGAGCGCCTTTGCACCGGCTGCAAGAAGCAACTGGCGGCCCGGAGCACCAGCCTCCGCGCCGAGCACGCAGTCACCATCGCCGCTGCGACAACGACGCTGCAGCAAGCCCACGAGAAGGCCTTGACAGCCAACACGGCCACGCTGCGCTTAGAGCACTACATCAAAGAACAGGCGCTGACCACGGAGCTCATGACGCTACGGGCCAAGCACGAGGCTAGCCTCCAACACGCTCGCGTTTTGCACACTCGATCGGAGGGTCTTCGCCGCGATCTCTACACGCTCGCAAAGTTCAACGACCGTCTGCAGACCACGATCGCTGCGTTGACCGCCGAAGCTGCCACGATACAAACGGGCGCCAATGCAGCGCGTGCCACCGCGTATTATCAGCTTGTCATGGTCGAGGTGGCTGCTTCCCGCTCCAAGCGCATTCGCAAAGTGACGGCCAAGATCACGGACGAGACCATTCGCCGCCTTCAAGCCGACGGCCGCGAAGACGCTCAAAACCCTGATGATGATGACACAGGTCAGCAGAAGAACGGCCGCCACCTCGCTCTGAACCAACTCCAAACCACCTAACGCGAGGTGACGCTTCACGCCAAGTGCGTTGATGACGCCCACGACGTCGCCCACCACCACCCACGCATTACTGTGCATCGCGTCGACTTGACCGGCTTGCGACGGCTGCCGCAACCGTAGCTTGCACAAATGCTGAAGTAGACGAGCCGCTGCAAAATTAGTCAAATGGTTAAGACTAACGATTACAAGCCATCCAAAATACATTAGAAGTCTAACGTCAACAGTAAGAAGTCCTAGACATGCGAGATTGGCTGTCCACGGTGCGGCCCCGACGTCGCCGCCGCGTCCTTCCGGCGCGGGTTCGAGTGCACAACGCCGGCCGCGGTCTTATGAAACTGGACAAAGACGCCCAGCCCAAAAAGGACAGCGGTCGCAGCCAAGTAGGCCCACCACGCGTTCGGCAAGTCGTACTCGAACGTCCCGTTCGCCGCTTGCTTGCGCCAAGCTTCGAGCTCCGTGCTGCTTGGGTACTGACCGGCAAAGTACCCAATGCCCCATGTCGTTGCGATCGCGCCAAACAAACTCGTCGCGACAATGAGCATCGGCCGCTCCAGCCAGATGGCCAAGCCGCCGGCAATGAGCCCAAGCACGATGATGAGAATCCAGAGACTCGTCGTCGGGTTCGACGGGTAAATCTTGTACCCGACCGACGTGTTGAGCTCAAACGCGAGGAGGACGCCGGCGGCTGCCCCGACGAGAAAGACGCCGCAGACCCAAATGTTCATGACGATCGAGCCGACGAGGAGCCCGAGGACGAGGAAGGCGATCCAGGACGCCGTGACCACATACGACTGGCCGCTGAAGATCTTTTCCGCAATGAGGTAGCCGAGAACTGACCCGACTGCAAAGCCGCAGATAAACATGACGGGGCGGAAGAGCTTGTAGCCAAAAAAGGTGACGATAACGCCGGCGATGAGCGAGATGGTGGCCACGAGGCCGGGCGCCCATGCGATGTTCGAGGCCGACGAGAAAAGCGCGTTGGCGTTCTGGTCGAACGTCGAGTTGCCGCTCGTGATGTTGGCCGCGCTCATGCCAGGCACGAGCAGCGCGAGCAGCAAGATGGCCGAGAGGAGCGCGTCGTGCCGGGCCATGTCTTGCGAAATGGGAAATGACCAAGATACATATATCCACACTTGCTACACTGTATGCGAGATTCTAGCCAATGGCATCGTCGAACAAGCATCGAAACCAATTAACCTTCCAGTTGAAGATTACCATGTTTCGCAAGTTTACCTTTAGAATTACATAGATCGAAAAAGTGATTCGGCGATATTGAAAGAACGATAGCGATTTCTATCCAGAGAGCCTCCATAACGTGATATTTCATGACACGGCTGCTGCCGTCAAGATCTGCTCCAGATTGTACGACAGAACGACAAGTGGCTGCGTTGAGAAGAGCTTGGTCTTTGGAGCTTGGTATTCATTAGAGCTTGGTATAGATTGCCAAGGTCATTGGTATTGTCCCATGGGATCCCATGGGACTACCCCTCCGAATATGAGAGATCAGGACCAGCAGAGTGACGTTTGGCGACGCGATTTCGCTGCCTTGCCAGCGCGACTGGTCAGTGATGAAAATGTATCATAGCAGCTACTCGACCTCAAGTTACTGGCGCAATTTGTGTGGATCGCTTAGAGCCAATCGATGAACCAGAGATCACGGCGCTTCGCAACTACATGTATGACGTGGCAGTCTGTGGCGCCTGCATCCGGATAACGCGTAAGGGGAGTGTGTTTAGCCAGCGGTTACGTCAACTTCGAACTTCGTCGCTTTCGGTTGTCGTTGGCGTCGAGCAGAGAGCTATAAGCATGGACCGCGTCCGAGCTGCGCTGGACGAGCTTGTGCTGCAGGCCAAGAAGAGCTTCCGCGGTCTCGCGCAGGACGACCGGTCGCCCGTCGAGAAGCTGCTCGACACGCACCTTGAGGACTCGGCGCTGGGCCCACCGACGGCCGCGCTCCACGACTTCGCCGCGCGCACCTTCAACGTCGTCGACTGCAAGCGCATCTTGCAGCGCCTGTGGCTCACGATTGAGACAGCGCCCGACCGCCCACACGTCCTGCGCAAGGTGCGTCGTCACGGCTATCGCTCCTGTATCGCCACATATACATGCGTAGGTACTCGTCGTGCTGCACCACTGCGTCCTCCACGGCGCCGACCCGTTTCTCAACGATGTCCTTGTCAAGAAGCCGCTCGTGCGCGACCTCGCGCTGCATTACAACCGCGACGAAAGCCAGCAGTACAAGTACAGCAAGGACTTGGACGCTGGCGCCGGCGTGCGGAAGCTAGCAGCCGACCTCTTTGACGTCCTCCACTCGCCATCGGCGCTCTACGAGGCCCGGTCGGCTGCACTCCAACTGCAAAAGAAGCTCTCAGCTTCTGGCATTGGTCTCTTGTCGCCCAAGGCTTCATCATCCGAAGCGCCCCGCCCCAGCGCCTACTCAGACAGCCCACGGCCCGCGCCCTACACCGACGACGTATCGCCGTCTTGGGAGCTTGGCGGCAAGGGCCACATCCGCCATGACGACACTGCCGACGCGCATTAGGACAGCGATTCGGCATGTTGTTGTTGTTGGATAAATCACCACAGAGAAGCCACCTAATGCACTTGCTTGGAGATGATGCTCGGCGCGACGAGCGTCTCGGTGACGGGTTCGCTTGCGAGGACTTGAAGCGCCGACCACGTCGGTGGCTCGGTCGCAAAGATGACGGTCACACGCTTTCGAAACGCCAGTAGCACTTGACCAAACTCCATGTACCCCTAGCCGCACCATGAGAATACGACATGGCAGTATCGCAGTATGCGTACGGCGCCCATTTCGACAAAGAGCCGGTCGAGGATCGGGAAGAGGATGCAAAACATGTCTTCAAACACCGTGTTGATCACGTCCCCGGTGAGGTCGTCCCACGTCTGATACTGGCTCAATGACGCGTGGAGCGACGCGCGGCTCAGCGCATTCGACGACGTCGCGTCGCCCTTCTTCTCGACGTCGTTGGCGATGAACGCGACAAAGGTCTTGGGTGCGCTCGAGACGCACCCGTCGAAATGGGACCCCGCGTCCCCAATGCCGAGAAACTCGACCAGCGTCGCGACCACGTTGATGCAGGCGATCGCAAACGGGTAGTTCTTTAAGTTGCCTTCGCTGACGCCGTGCCGAATCCGGTTCATAATGGAGGTCGCGAGCTTTGTGTGGTGCCGCACAAAGTACATGAGGCAGTGGAGACCGAGGAGGCCGCTCGCGCGCAAATCCGAGGGTGGGCCGCCGCTAGACAAGCATTCGTAAGATATCATACGCTACGGAAGGACCGCGATATACCGTTGAAACCCGATTTCTTGCCAGCGCACGTCCGTGTTGGACACAAAGACGTCGCTCGGGAAGACGTACGTCCAGAGCTGCTTGAGCATGACGTCGATGAGCTTTTGGTCTTTGGCTGGCGCGTTGCCTTCGGGCTTGACGCTGGCCTTGAGCAGCTTGCGCAGCTTCATGACGGTCCGGACGCACGTGCGTCGGATCTTCTCGCGCTTGTCCATCTCGGCGTCCATGATCTCCCGCGGTAGAATCGACGCCGCGAGGATCGCAGAGTACCACGACTTGCACTCTTGCGCCGAGTCGCAGATCATGACATGCCGGCCCAAGTAGAGCGTGTCGGTCGCTGCGTCCATCGACACGCGGAGCTCCTTCAGTGGCAGCACAAACCACGGCCGGACCAAAGTCGCGTGCTCGGGGAAAAACGTCAAGAAGGCTTCGTGCAACTTGACGTGGAAGCGGCCTTTGAGCGTCGCATTGTGGCTCGCCTGCTTGCGCTCCATGCTCCCGGTCTTGAGTGTGAGCTGCGGGTACCGTTTCCGGAGCTGCTCTGGGTCAATGGCGCCAGACGTTATGTGCTGCAAGAGCGCGACGAGGTCGTCGCGCGCCGCAGCCGTGTCGAGGTACAGAGGCCAGTTGCGGTGCTTGTCCCACGTGATTTCGAGGCCAAAGCCCCACTCCGAGTTGTCAGTGAGGACGCGAATCGTTCTGAGCGCAGCGAACGGCAAGGTCGTGAGCGTCTCGCCGCGCTTGGTGTTGACGATCGTTTGGTCGGCAAAGTTGAGCTCGAGCACGCGCGTCTGGACGTGGTTCCGGTTGCTGCACTTGCGCACGCCGTAGTGAATGAGGAACCCGTTGATGCCCGTCTTGTCCCAGAACGAGCGCAGGCCGCCCGCTACGCCCACGGTTTAGGACGACCGAAGAGCAACTGCTAGGCTAAAGCACGCACCATGGAGTGCATTGGTCTGCGAGTCGTTGATCGCGGCCTTGATCGCGGCAATCCACGCGGCCATCTCGACGTTGGAGATGGCTTGGACAAAGTACTCGCGCTGCGCCAAGTCGACGGACGTGGCAACTTTGAATTCGAATTCGCGGTCCCGGCTGTTGGCTTTGGTCTTGGGCACGACGGAGCACTGCGAGCTCGACGAGAGGCGGATCGTCTTGACCGTGGTCTTGGCCTTCCCCGCCGGCGATTTCTACAAAGGAGACGAACTCGTATCAAATGAGAAACGACGCGCGGGTACCTCCTTGGCGTACGTGAGGATCGGTCCGTCCGCGCTAAAATGGATGTTGTAGAGAAGCGGGAAGGCAGAGGCGATTCTACCTGTGGGACAAGGTGAACCATCGCCGTCGCCACGTGGGCACGACGCCTCCTTTCTTCATGAGCCAGCCTTGCTTGAGCACGTCGCCGACGTTGGACTGGCGGACGTCGGCGAGGTCGTCCGAGTCGACGACCGACATCATACCGCCTTGCACGGTCAAGCTCGCGCCGAGCCGCGCGAAAAAGTAGTGGCGACCGAGGTTGGTCTCGAAGCTCTGAATCTGCTCGCGTGAAAACTCGACGCTGCTCGTGCTCGCGCGTCGGTTCTTGCGTGGCTCGTCCATGCCCGGCGTATACGGTCCCTGGGGACTTGCGAGCTCGTCCACGAGCTTCCTCGCCGACCCCGTCGGTGTCCGCACTGCGTCCGCGTCGCTTCGCCGGCGCAGCGGCAGCATGAACGCACCCACGGGGCTGCTCTGCGGCGACATGTCTTCCGAGAAGCCCGATGGCGAGATGCCCGAGGATGCAAAGCTCTCGTTGCCGTCCATGCCCACGTGGACGGTGAGGTGCATGAGCGTCTTGACCTGCAAGATCTCGCCAGGTCGATCCAAGGCTTCGCTCGTCGCGTCCTACACGCGCAGGATCAGGATCGTCCATCGCATGTGCATGCTCTTCCACAGGTCCATGCGCATGGGATCGACGTACCGAGAGGCTCATGGCGGGACTCTCGCTCGCCGGCGCGTCGGGCCCGTCGACGCTCATGGACGCAAAAGCTAAACTATTTCGAGCGCCGAAGGGTGTGAGTAATAAAATGCATTTTTAATTGCTTCAACCAATCGCGGCGATACAAACGCTCCGCCTTTCTGGCCTTTTTGCGTATTTTATTAAAATCGAATTCCGTCGCTTTCCATATTATTTCCGCCATCTCCGCCGAACCGACAACCCCGACGTCGCGATGGAGTGGCCGTCGCTGCAGATGCTGCGGGACGCGGTCCAGATCGCGTGCTTCCCGCGCCGGCCCAAGGACCGCGACGTCTCGATCCATTGGGTCGCGCGCAATGTACGCCATGCGAGGCCACTGGACGCGGCGAATATGATGGCGATCTTGTAGCTCCTCGCGCTCTTGCAAGAATACCCCGATGGCCTCACGCGGCCCGTCGCGCTCACCGAGCTCATGGTGCGCTACCTGCAGTCGCATTCGGAGCGCGTCATAGCTGGCGACCGGTCCAGCGAGACCGACGTGCAAGTCGCCGAGCTTCGCCAATTGATCGCCGCACGCCACACGCTCGTCCTCGACATGCTAACGCTCCACGCAGCGTCGCAGGAAGATGAGACGCGCGCCCGCGCCGAGACGCACATGTAATTGATTTCCTGGCGACTGCACGGACGACACGCGTGATGGTAGGTTCATCCACCAGCGCTTTGAGCGCTTCTTCTCCAACGACCCGGCGTACGTGTGCTCCATCCCTGACCGACCGATTTCGCATGCTTCCGCAGGACTCCGCACCCGTTCAATCTCAAGCGCAAGCTGTGGTTGACCAACCTACGCCGACTCCAGAGCACGAACGGTACCATTCTCTCCCATCAAGCGTCGCAGGATCGATGGCAGCGTAGACACCAAGCTGCGCCGGTACCTGCCCACCGACTTTATGGTCTTTGAGCTCTCGCTGCGGGACGCTTGGGACAAGACCTTCTCGGACGACGCCCGTTGTATCACGACGCTGCTCCAGTGGCAACAGATGCCTCCCGACATGATGCACCAGCAGCGATTCCGCCTCAAGGTACTACCTCGTCTCTACCGCGTCCTGCAACCGTCCAGCTTGCGAGTAGGTCGTCGATGTCTTGGCTGCACGGCCATGCGTGGCGTCCGGCGCGCTGCGACGGCAGACGATCCTCGTGTCGCCCATAGCGTCCCCTACCCCCTCCTTCCTGTTCGTGCTCTGGGACCAGCAGACGCTGCTGAGCCAGCTCCTGCAGCCGGGCGACCATCTCTTGATCGACTGCCCGTTCTTGCTATCGGTCGACGCCCAGCATTCGCCCGAGCACCGCGCGATATTAGACGAAGTCCCACCGCACAGCCGCGTGTATCCGCACATTGCACTCGAGTACGGCTCGTCGACGGTCCTCTTCCGGACACCGGCCGTCGTCCAGCGTGACATCATCTTGACGCAGTCCAACGAGACCCTCGACATCCCGAAGGAAGAAACCACCAAGTTTGCGAATCTGTCGCAGTACCCGTACCCGCTCCAGCTCAACCAACTCGCATCGCGCTGCGTCAACGCCTCGTTTCTTGGGCTCGTGGTCGACGTCAAAGTCTCTGCAGCCAGTCCGCTCCTCGCATCCTTCTGTGCCACGTATTACAGCGCGCTCGAGCCACTGCTGTGCGTCGAACTCACCATTTGCGACTGGCACCGGCGGGAAAAGCCGCTCCAGATCGAGTGCGTTGGGTCGGTCGCCGCCGCCGCCGTGCGCACCTCCGTCGGTCACGTCGTATACGTCGACGGCGTCGTGCTCGTTGAAGACCCGGCGACCATGCGGCGCGTCGTCGGTCTCTGTGCTGCGTGGCCCGACATTCTCAGCATGAAGACGTCGCTCACGAACGGCAGTGTCGTCAACTGGAGCCATCTACCCGGGTTTCTCCAGTCACCGTCCTTTTACACGCCGACGCTACTCTCGGCCAAAGCGCAACCGGCGTCGATTGTCCGCGCCACGATACTCGACGTCGGGTTCCTCACGCCCAATGGCGAGGTTGACGCGACGTGCGAGCGGGGCGGGGCCGTCCGCATGGTGCACCGCTTCTGTCACCGCCCGGTAGCACTCAACCGCACCGGTGCTGAGTGCAGCTTTTGCGCCGAGGCCTACGTGCACGGCCAAGACGTGTTTGAGTTGGCGTTTGGCGATCTCGTGCTGCAGCTCGACGACGGCACAGCGAGCACATGGGTTCTCGTGCATGCGAGCTGCACCGAGCGACTCCTCCGCATCGACCCACACCTCTTTGAGCAGTCGACGTACGCCGAGCAAGCGGCAGCGCTCCACGATCTGCGTGGCCAGCTCGTCCTCGGTCTTCTCTCGCTCACGCGGCCACGAGCGCTCCAGTCAATGTCGATTTGCCGGCGCCTCGATATGGCGCGACGGCTCACAACGGGCAGCCTCGGCTCAACCTTGTACCACCAGCTAAACGCTCTGCGCTAACCAAAGGGAAGCGTTCGCCGTGTTGATGCGGCATTAGACACAGAGCTCTCGGGCACAGAGGGCAGCGTGGCGGCCGGACACGCCTCGCAGACGCACTGCGCGCCGACATGATCGCGCGCGACAAGCTCTATCGTGTGCTGACGATGGCAGCGCAGACTGCAGTGGCGGCAGAGAGGCTGTTTTTGACAAGTTGTACAGTGGTAGTGCAGGCCGAGCGGCGCCGACGACGTTTGGAGCGTCGACGTACACACACAAGCCCGAGCTAGGGCATCCTCGTGAGCAAGCGAGATGGGACGCGGTCGTACAGAGACTGCCACGCTCGGGAGGAAGCAAGTGCGAGATGACCCGGGGCACAAGGAACTGGCGAAACCGGTTCATGCGCGTGGCGGCGTCTAGCCAAGACGAGGAATGATGCAGGAGCGCACGTGCGTTGCCCTACCCTGCCGGAAACGACAAAGACCATGGGCAAAGCCGACGGCGACGTCGATCGCAAAGCGTGACGCGATCGCGTCGATAGCCCACGGGACGCAGGTTGCTTGCCGCTGCACGCCGTGACTCGTCTTGCCATGCGTTCCGTCGCCCCACGTGCACACCTCGCCGTTGGCTATTGCACGCTTGTACCATGGATCGAAAGCGCCATGGACGTACTCAGCAGCGCGACGGAGAAGCGGTCGCCCGCGTGGATCTGCGCAATGCGTCGGGACGAGGCAGCGTACTCAAACTCTTGGGCGCACTGGGGCGTGTCGAGGTATGGGATCGTGAGGTTGAGGCCGAGCTGCCCAAACGCGTTCGAGCCAAACGCGTAGAGGAAGGTCCGAACCCCGAGCATGCACACCTACCACACTCTCGTGGAGGTCTTCAGCACCGAATGACGTACGACGAGCGAGTGGTCGCTGCCGGCCGCCGCTTTCTCAGCGCGCATGCAGCGGAAGTACGCGACTTCGACGGGCGACGGAACATCGCGGTCGTCGCCACCGAGACCCAAGCACCCGTGCTGGCTGCGGCCCCAGCTATATACGGTCGTGCCTACGCTTCTGTCAGGCGCACGTAAGCATCAAGCGTACGAACCGCAGAGCGCCAGCACATGACTCGTCCCAGCCGCGACTGTGCGTACGCGCGGAAGTCCTTCGACCCGTCGCGGCGTCGGCTCGAGAGCCGTACTCCCTAGTTCATGTCCATCGATGACATAGCTGTTTTGCGAAAAGGGCAGCGCTACCGTGGCCAAGTTGTCCGTGGGAGTTGCGGCCCCACGAGTAGAGGTCGCCTTGCGACGTGATGGCGAGCGTAAAGTGGTGGCCCGCGCACACTCGGACGACGGGTGTTGGCAACGCCACTGGCTGCGGGACCTACGGTAGCAGTCCTGTACGTCATGCTGTGGCGCGGTTGTACCGTCATTGACGCGTCACAGCCGAGCCCGAGCTGCCCATGACAGCCATCTCCCCATGCATACACCACACCGCCGCCGTCGTCGAGTGGCACCGCAACCTCTATCGTCCTTGACACTTGCGCGCTTGGTATCGCACCTACCGCCGTCGTCGTCGCGGCCGAGAGTGAGTGGTCGGACCCGCCGCGGGGCTGCATACATTGAATAAATGGCGCAGCCCGAGATGTCTTGTTCGTACCAGCGATGGCAAAGCACGCGCGGGTGCCGGCGGCGACGCTCTGCATGGGTGGCAGCCCATGCACGGGTCGGGGCACCCAGTTGGCCGCCGTGACATAGTCGCCGACGCGGCCGCACTGGTACACTTGTCCTGCGTCTAATTAGTGCAGGCATGCGACGCCGGTACGTTGTGTACTGGCTGTACCGTCGAGGAATAGGGTCAAGTGGCGGCCCGCGGCGACTTGCGCGATCGACGCGTGGCGCAGCGCCGAGACGCGCACGGGCAGATTCGCAGTCTGCGTATTGTCGCGACCAAGGCTGCCCTCGACGCCGTAGCCCCTACCGTACCGTACGTGACGCCCAACGACTCGGTGCGGGCAGCGTGTCTACCAGGCAAACACGTCCGTCTCAAGCAGCGGCTCGGCCGCGCGCCGAAGGGTTGCTGCCACGCGGAGCTCGTAGCCGAGGCGACTGAGGCCATGCGGCGCGGACGGCGCTGGGTACCTCTCGTCGCCCATGGCAAAGATCGCAGTCGTTTCAACCCCATCAATTCGATCCGTGGTGTGAAAATAGCTCACTTGAGGGACGACAGGATGGCGTTCTCGGTCGTCGCCAAGCGCTTCCTCAATGTGTGGAACTTCCTCGTGCTCGCACTGGGTGTTGCTGTCCTCATTGTCACGCTCTACGCGCTCACGTGCCAAAGCGACACGCGCGCGGTGCCGTCGCTCGGCTACGTCGCGTCCGCAGTCTGCGCCGGCCTCCTCGTTCTCCTTGCGGGCCTCGGGCTCTACGGCCTGCGCCAGCACCGCCACTGCGTCACGACCGGACAGCGCAACGTTGCCCTCGGCAGTGTGCGTTCTCGCATTTCTTGTTCGAGCGGCGGACTCACTGCATGCGGTGCATAGTATGTGCTCTTGGGCTTTGGCGCCGGCGTCGTCTTGACGCTGGCCGGTATCATCGGCCTCACGCTCAACAGCGCCATCATTGACGCACGCGCCAACAACTTTAGCGATGTACGCGTCGCCTACCTCGAAGAAGCCATGATCGCGAACCTGCATGCGTACGCGTCGGTGACGCCGACCGGGTGGCAAGAGATGCAAAACGCGTGGTTCTGCTGCGGCTACTACAACGTCTCGACGATCCAAGTGTACGCTGTCGTCTCCACATCATAACGAATGGATCATTTTGGGACAGGCACATTGGCCTCGATGACGCGGCCCACGCGCGGAGCCTCAACCAGGTCGCGGGTATCTACTGCGGCACGACCAACTGCACAGCTGGCGCGTCGCCGTGTCCGCAGCGCAACCAAGTGTGGTGCCGGGACGTCTTTCTGCAAAATGCAGCGACCAACAATGTCTACATTGGCTGGACGTCCCTCGCTGCCGGCGTGGCCCAGGTACCTTTTGCGATACATCGACATTGTGGGTCCGAAACCGCTTCCTATAGCTCTTTGGGTTTGTCCTTGGCGTGCACATCCTCCTCTGCGATGTCCGAATGCTCCAGCAACGATCGTCGCGCATGCTTGCGGCGTTGATGAAGGCGTAGCACCCTTGCATTTATATAAACATATATAGTTCTTGTCGACCGTGCGGTTAGGGTTGTGTGATTACGGTGCATTACATCCAACACTCGGCGTCGTACGTGAACGTGGCGACGCGTGTCGCAGCAATCATTTGATAGGCTCCTACGATGGCATGCACAAGTTGTCAGGCGTCCGGTAGACAACGATACGAGAGACGCACCGCACGAGAGCGCGCCGAACGCGACACCGTCGGGCATGTCGACCTTGAGTGGCACAGCATCTTGCTTTTGGAGCGGCGCGCCGTTCGCTGCGTCGGGCGAGCCCCAGTTGTATACCTCGCCCGCCGTGGTGAGCACGCCGGTCGTGTACGAGCCGCAGCTCACGTGCGTGGCAGCAACGTTGGGGATGGGAATGTGCATCGGCGCCATCTGCATCTCGCCGAGACCGATGGCCGCGTCGCCCAGCTGGCCGGCGAGCGCGTCCCCCCAGCCAAAGACGCGGCCGTCGGGCGTCACAATGACCGTGTGGTAGGCGCCACAGCCAATCGCAATCGCTCGCAGGTCGGGCACGAGCGTTGGAACGAGCGCGTCATCGAGCGAGCCGAGTCCGAGCGCGCCCGAGCCACCAAACCCCCACGTATAGACCTACGTGACATTAATGAGGTCCTCGAAGCATGTCTCATTAATCGTACGTTGCCGTCGACGTCGATGGCAGCCGAGTGACACTCGCCTGCTTCGGCCGACAGAATCTTCACGTCCAAGGCGCAGCGCTGCGGCAAATGCCCGTCCTCTTCCGAGCCGACGCCGAGGCGACCGCTGTAGCCCGCACCAAACGCGTAGAGGTCCCCGTCACGGGCCACGGCAAGCGTGTGCTCTCGGCCACAGCCCACCTTGGCGATCGGCGGGAGGTCCACGAGCTGCGGCAGGAGCGCTTTGCCCGACTCGCCCGTGCCGAGTCGCCCGGCCTCGCCCCACCCAAAGCCATAGAGCTGTCCGTCGTCGGTGACGACCATCGAGTGCTCGCGGCCGCAGGACGCATGACGCACCACCTTGTCTTCAAAGAAGGCGACGGGCTTGGGCTGCCCGACGGGCTCTTCGTCGCCATGTCCGAGCCGGCCGCACTCGCCGTACCCAAAGGTGAAGAGGCTTCCGTGCGTCGTGATGAGCGCCGCGTGCCGGTAGCCACACGAGACGAAGCGGATGCTGTGGACCATGGGCGGCGGGAACCGGAGCATCGTGAGGTCGACGACGCGCGGGCCAAACGTCGGGAGCGGCTCGGAATGCGGCGCGTCATGGTTTTGCTGCATGTGACGCTGCTCGACGTCGAGGCTGAGGCCCATGACGTTGCCTTGAAGAAACGCCGACCCGTTCATGGCCCACATCGCCGACGCAACGTCCGTGCGCGGGATCACCATAGCTTTCTCAAAGAGGCTCTTGGGCAGGAACATGGAGTTGAGATTGAGAAAGTGCCGATCAATCTTCTTGAACCAAAACTGCGGCGAGACGAGGCGACTGACGTCCGTCGACGTGGGCAGTGTCTGCATGAGCAGCTGCAGCATCGCACTCGACTTTTGGACGTGGGCCATTTGCTCAGGGCTCACATCGCGCGGTGTGAGACTGCGAAAGACGTTCGAGAGCTTGAGGATAAGGACTAGGAAGAGCATGTGGCCGGACGCATTCATGAGCAAGTGCGACGTGTTTGCGGGTCTACGCACGACATATATATCGCACCATGCATCAAGACGACCATATCTACCGAAACAAGACCCGCAGCCACTTCCACGCGTGCACGTACAAACTCAGAAGCGTCTTCCAGTGCTGCTGCCCGGCGTCTTCGTACAAGAAGATCTCCAAGAAGAGGCAGCTCAGAAAGTACCCAATCGGCAAGAGCGACACGGACGGGAGCATGTCAATCTGCCGACGCACGTCCGTCATGATGGCGCGCACCTGCCGCGCGTCGCGGTTCCTACGCGATTGTATCAGCAACCGATCCATCAAGAGAACGCTGGCTACCGCGCGGCCGCGATCGCCGAGCGGAGGTTGGCGTGGATGCTGCGTTCGAGGCAGTACTCTTCAACGTGATCGCTAATGCCTTCCATGGCGCCAGCGACCCGCTCGTCGACACTGCGGAAGAGGTCGAGGTAATACTCGCCCTTGCTCTTGATAGCGCCCTTCTGGAGCGTGCTGCCTTGCGGACGGAACGCCGTCGTCGGCCGCGTTTCGCTGATCGACGTCTTGAAGACGGACTCGAGCTGCACGAGCTGGTGCGAGAACGACGAGAGGTCGGCCCGCTCCATGTTGGCCCAGTCCGTCGACACTTTGCACTTCTCAAAGCCAATGATGTCGTCGGCTTGAAGCTCCGAGAAGTGCAAAGCGTTGCTGTGGGTGAGGAGGGCGTCGAGCACGCGGAGACTCACGTTGAGGCGCAAGTTGCGGAGGAGCGCCATGAAGAGCGGGGCTGGGTTCCGCTTCAGCGTCGCATGGTACGTCGTCGCGTCCAAAGCGCTCTTGGGGACGAAATAGGCAGCTAGAGACACAGCGTAAGCGCCACATAGCATGCAAACATGGAATACAGGCGGAGAAGGGACCGAGCGAGACCCAGATGGGCAAGTCGACGCCCCAAAACTGACTCGCGACCGGGTCGTGCTCGGTGAGCCCGCGCATGATGGCGTTGACAAGCTCGACGGCGACCGCGCTACGGCTCATCTCCGGGTTTGTCAGCAGCTTGAAGCGCAAGAGGTGCTACATCGCTTCAAGTGAGTTGGGAGAGGCTTGCATTGGCGCGCACCTTGGCGACACGGGCAACGATTTCCGTCAAGACAAGCAGCTGGACACCGGCTTGCGTCGACTACACCACACATATCTATGTTAAAGTGGTGTCGACCATCGGTTCGTACCCCGGTGCACCCGAGAATCGCTGGCAAGAAGGTCATGTTGATGCCGCTTTCCTTCATGAGCGTGCGCAGATGGTTGGTGTCAGCCACATAAATGAACGACCCCGACGATGACGCAGGCTCGTCCTCGTCGTTGCTCGACGACGACGACGGCGCGTGATTCAGCACGGGGGCGTCCTTGGTCGTGCCGTCGCCAAGCGTGATGAGGCGTGTCGCAAACTGGTGAATGTGCGCGGCAAGAAGCTCTTTGATGCGCACTTCGACGCGCTCGACCTACGAGATGCTCGACACCATGTGTCGCAAGTGCGCGCGTACCGAGCTCGAGGCCACATCGCGCTCTTGGAGAAGACTCAGAAAACGTCGCGCTTCCGCGTCCAAGCTCAAGACGAATGCTTCTTTGAGATGCAACGGAAGCCGGCTCGTCTCGGCGTTGAACGTAAACACAATGTCGCCGTACATCTTGGTCGCGCCAAACTGCGTCGCGCGCGCGTTGACGTCGGTCGACATGATTTCCCGCGCAAAATACATCACATCGAGGTACGGCAGCGTCTCAAACTTGCTCTTGATGCCTTTGAGACTCAGATAGTGCACGAGGCCCTTCTTGCTCGCGTCCAGCGTCTCCTTCATCGTCACGAGCTCGTCTTGCGTCAGCACCTTTGTGTAAAATTGAAACATTGATATTTCAAAGCATGACATACCTGGATCGGCGCCGCGGCGTCCAGCGGCACGAGGCAGCCCGCGTACTGATACGGGCGAATGTCGGTGCGAAACACGTTGGCGTACGGCGACGAGATGCGCATGAGGTACACATCGTCCGAGACCGCGCTCCTAGCCACAATTTCAATGTCAATTAATTGGCTCAAAATCAACAAGACAATATTGTACCGGTGAATACACGAAAAGAGGGGGAGCTCACGGTACGGAAGCGCTTGCAGCACCTGCGTCGGCCGCGTAAACCGCAAATTGTTGAGCATGTTGTGAATGTGCTGGTTGCCCAAGCGCACGGGGTTCGTGTCGCCGAGCGGCTGCGCGCAGACAAGCACGCGCATGTCGCGAATCTAGTCGACATCATTATTATCCTCAATATATATATAATATGGGACAAACCTCAAAGCTGGCCGTGAGAGGAAACTTGATTTGGGCGACTTCGCGCAGCTTTTCATCGCCGAGACTTGCAGCCGTGTTGGCGATCGTTCGAAAGACATCGTAAAGCTCCTTGAAGGAGCTAAAGACGCGCATGTCCTGCTTGAGCGACTGGTAGCACTTCCAATGGTCACGTGCAACGAGCAGCACGAGCGGAGTCGAAGTGTAGATACGCAGCTTCGGCTCGACTTGGCCCGTCGACTCGTCGTCAAACCACCTAGGACAATGGCAAAGGTGTAAGCTGTAGTCATACCACAGGCCTTGTACGGGTTGATGCCCGGATTTCGCTGGTAGACAAAAGCCGATGGGTCGGCCGCATGATGGATCGCGTCGGCCAGCATGAGTGCATACTGGTTGAACTGGAGCCATAGCTACGCCGGAAAATGGGCCAAACACGAACGAAGACGACAACGTACCCCGTACATGCGCTTCATGCGGCGCAGCTGCAGCGTAAAGTCGTCGCTGGCCTGGGATCTACACATATATATATGATGCGTGTGTACTTGCGCAAACCGTAGAGTACCGCAGACAGAACTGCCACTCCTTGTTCCAGTCGCGCGGCTTGATGTGGAGCACAAGCGCACGCCGCTATGCGTCTGCATGAGCGATCGATCGACAGGCGCGTACGCACGGCGTCGACGTTGGTTTCTTCCAGCGCGTGCTTGAAGGCAGCGGTCCACTCGCGCCGCCCGGCCGCGTTTTCGTCGGCAATCTCTTGCATCGTATTGCGAAACTCGTGCGCTTCGGCCTGCGTGTGAAAGCCGAGCGAGCTCACGTCGCCGGCCCAATTGACTGTGAAGCTAAAGAACGCGCCCGACTTGACGATCTCGTGGCCAATCTCCGTCTATTCGCACCAAGCCGCTACATGGAGACCAATGCAGCAGCGGCGCAACGTACCTCGACGAGATCCATGCGCTTGCCGTTGGCGCCGCTACGCAAGAACCATGAGGATTATCGCCATCGCGCAGGCTGTACGTCTGCGTCTTGTCCCAGATGAGCCAGCCGTCGCTGAGGAGCGAGAGCTGGCGCTGCCGCCACGGGCGCATGAGGCCATGGTTCTTCTTGTACGCGAGGAGCGTCGCGATTATGGCCATGGCTCTTGGTCTTTGCGCTTGAGATGACCTCGCGGCAAAACCTCTAGGATATCATATCGACACCGTCGCGTCCCTCTATATATCGATAGTCTAATCGCACGCCATTTGAAGGGACCCGGACGCCACATCTTGAAAGAGCAAGAGGCCGCCCAAGTGTTACGTCGCCCACGGCAACGCAAGACGTCGCCCACGGCAATGCAAGACGTCAGGTAGTACTAGGCAATGGCGCTGCCATGCGTAGGCCGCACGGAACGCGGCGATCGGAACGAAAAGTTGCGTGCGTTTAGATGCAGGAGCGCAGACTGGATCTTTGATCGCAAGCGGCCACGTAAGTAATGGGCGGCGACGTGCACCCACGTCGGGCAGCGATGGGCGACCGTCCTGGCTTCATGCACGGACGTCACTGGTCTCCTTTGTTCATATTCGTTTGTATCTGGCGACGGTTCAGATACACTCTGAAGCTATCTCAATCTTGGATGAGTTTGCAGTTTGGCAAAAGGGCGGGGTAGGGGTGATTAAATTATTGGTTGAAAACTACGAGACTATAGACACGAGGAGAAGAAACGACTACAGGTAGAGGCCCGGTTCCGAGCTCCCGCTTTCGCGGAACGACCCCGTCGAGCACGACGTGTCTCGAAAGTCTGAGGCCGAAAAGTGATCGTCAAACGACCCGACGTCCATCGAGAAGGACTGCGAGAAGCTCATGAGCGAGTAGTGCGACTCGTAGCTCATGCGGTCGTCAAACGCGGCAGTTGGGCTCACGGTCGCTGTGAGCTTGGGGGTCGCCGCCGCTGCCATTGGCGGGTACGCGCTGCGTGGCGACACGAACGAAGGCACGTCCTCGAGCGGCGACGACCGTGCGACAGGAAAGCCAAGGCTCGACCGATCCGACGTCCGCGGCGAGTACGACCGCGACGAGCGCTGGGACGCATTCGAGTCGCGCGACGTCTCGACAATGTAGCACGACGACCGGCGCGTGTCTTCGTCCTTCTCGGACGACATGCGCGGAATGTCGTCGCCTTCAAAGACAAAGAAGGAAAACTTGGGGTCCATTGGCGGCGACTGGCCTTGGTCGCTCGGCGGATGCTGGTTCAGCGTGTCGTTCTCGGGTGCTTTCGACGATGAAAACGAGGACGAGTCGGCGTCCGTCTCGGACGACGACCGCGGCGACTTGGACGTGCGGTCGTTCATCTTGGAGGATTCGGTCGAGGCCGACGAGGGGAACGCGGCTTGGATCTGGCGAAAGAGCTCGAGGTTGTTCTCGGCGGCGGCGATCGAGCTCAGGGGGTCCACGAACGACATGTAGCTCTGCGTGCGGGACCGGTTGGAGGATTCCGAGACCACGTGCTCCGAGAGCGACGAGAGCGGGCCGGCCTGGTCGTACGACGGCAGCGCGTCCTTCTTGGTGCTTTCGCGCTTCTCGGCTGCGTGAAAGTTGGGATTGTCTTCGTTCGAGAGCAGCGAGACTGCCGACGACCCGCGCTTGCGGCCACGCGCCGAGAGCATCGCGATCGAGCTCAGCGCTTTGACGTCGGCCGTGTCGGGCAGGTCGCGGATGAGCTCGTTCACGTCGCGCGCGCTCTCAAAGTGGATGCTCGAGTGCTGCAGGCCGTAGTCGGAGCTCATGCTCAGCGTCGGCTTGTCCCGGAACGTCCGCGCGGTCGGCGAGAGCACGGCGCCTTTCGACGACATGCAATTGCCCATGCTGTGCCAAATTTCAACTGAGCCGCTGCGTAATTATATACTGAGAAAAGAAAGGCCAGCACTTTGTACTTGGCGTTTGTATGCATCGAGGCAGCATGTGATTTAAATGCTGTGGCTATCAGCGCCATGTGAGTTACGACGGCCAGTAAACCAAGCGACCAGGTGGCGCGTCGTCGCAGCTTCTCTTGCTCAACGTGTCGCCGCCGAATCATATCCACCTTCTTCTTCGTCGTCGTCTTGGTGTAGCTCTTGGTAGAGCCTATCGCACGCGGCTAGCACTATACAAGCTGTGCTGTGTGGTTCTATAAGTTCTTGGCGCCTTCGCAAGAACGCTGACAGACGACGACCGACCAGGCTTGTCGGAATTTTAGTGTCCTATGATATGGTGGTGCGATGCACAAACTGACGACGACGGACGATGCTGCTGCTGTCGTCAGCACCCAGTTCCTTGTGGAGGTCCGAGAGCCGACTGGAATGCTGGAGGATTGAGAACTTGCATTGGATACCAACTTGATCCAGCCATGCCAAACTTGATAAACTGCGCGATTTGGCTGCTTGATGCTGATAAACGAAACAGGGTGATGGCGTAGAAGATGCGCGGGTGTGGGTTGGACGCAAAAAACGTGCACGGGCTGGGCTTTGACGTGGTGCGTTAAATCCCTGGCGCGCAGGAGCCTGGAGTTGCACACGTTGTCATTGCCTGCACCGAATTCTTGCACCGTTGGACGTGCACCAAGTTGCAGCGAGCACGTGCGATCCCCACCCAGCACCGCCCAGTAGCATCAATTGTGCATACTACAGTATCAAGAGATTCGGGTCGGTGGCGAGGTATCGGGGCCTCGGGTAGGACCGGCCATTGCCACTGGCCACGGGAACGCGTTCGCAGAGTGCGAGATTTGGAGTTCTGAACCTTCCTGAGAATCAAACCCCATCGTGATCAGGAACAAGCCGTGTCCCGTCTGAGCGCCAGAGGTGTCTTGGGCGCAGATGGCGAACTGAGCGCAGCCAGGGTCATCAAATGCACAAAAAAATAATGCTCGCGGCAACGCCAGAGGGCGATGCTGGACGGCAGCAGATCGAGCTCGCCTCGTACTAAGCAATGACAGTCAAGGACGTGTGCGCGTGCTGCTGTAGAAGGTGCCACGTCATTATATTCCAACGTCTATTTAGTGTGCAGTTGGCAGTTACATTTACGGTCCACACCACTGGAAGAAGGGCATTTTGCCGCAATCTTGCGCCGACCAGCCCACGAGCGACATGGATGTGGGCGCATAGTAGCACCCCGTGTTGTCGCCGCAGCCGGGCTTGCGCTGAGCCTTGTGTGTGGGCTCGGGCGTCGGCACGGGCGCTGTCTCTTCCTCCTGCGTCCTCGTCGCCGCGTAGACTGGCGCGACAAAGCTGTTGTGGCCAAGGCTGTCGAGCGCGTGGCGCGCCGGCTGCGAGAATGCAAACCGGTCAAACCGGTCCCAGTTGATGCTCCATGTCATGACGCCGCGGAACGTCGGGTATGTATTCTTGGGCTTGATCGTGTCGCAGCCAACGCCGTGCGCAAGACACGTCAACGCTCGCGTGACCGTCGTCGGCGTCACGAAGCCCCGGCCGGCCGCCTGCGGACCCGAAGGGACACCGAATGCAACTTGGTCGGGACGAAGGCCGTTGAACTTCCAGCCCTGGCCATAGTTGACACGGAAGCCGTCCATGAGCATGAGCGAGCCGCCGACGAGGCAGTCGACGGTGCCTTCGTTGATCATGCGGCCGTCCGTGTAGACAAAGCCGCCGTTGTTGTAGTACTGGACGTGAATGATGCTGAGCTCGTTGCGGAGACCGTCTATGATCGGAAGGTACGCACCCCAGATGCTACCATATGCACCGTAGCCGCCCTGCACGTACGGGTGCTCGGGCGCCATCGAGAGGTAAAACGAGTCGCCGACGCGACGGCGGAGCTCCTTGACGCCGATAATGAGGTTGTTGATGATCGGGAGACCTTGCGAGATACCCGACTCCAGGTCCAGATCGATGCCGTCAAAGCCATACTTGCGCAAGAGTCCGTATACCGAAGTGACAAAGTTGTGGCGCTCCATGTCGTTGCTTAGCGAGACCGACCCGTCTTGGCCGCCGAGCGAGAGCACGACCTTCTTGCCTCGCGCTTGGAGCGCTGCAATGTCGTCAATGAACGCCGCTTCCGAGCCCGCGCCTTTATCGAGCTCGAATCCGACGTTGCCGTTGCCTTGGTTGGTGCCAAACGCGACGATGACCACGTCCCAGTCCTGGCTCACCATGCGCAGCGGGTAGGTCGGGCCGGACGGGTTCTGGAAGTCGTGCCAGTAGCCGACGAGGGCGTGGCCTCGCAGCGGCGCGGCGCTGGCCGCGGCGAGCAGCATTGAAGCGAGAAGCGCAAGCAGCATGCTTGAGGCAAAAGGCAAAGTGAGCTCGCAACCGCCGGAAAATCGCAAAACCAAAGATCCCGCAGAAACCATCTGGTGGCGGGCCAAGCGTTTTGGGTGTTTTTAGTCGCGATGCCATCTCACACTGGAGCGAAATGGAACGAGGCCGCCACGCACGCCATGTTCGCGCCTGTCTGGAGCAACCGCACACAACTAGACAAGGACCGACAGCGATGGATGCTCCGTTCTCTCTTCTTCGTCCCACGCGGCCCCAGAAAGCTTCGAAAAGAAGCTTGCGGAAAGAGGTGCGTAAAAAAACAGAGTCGATTCAACACAAGGACACGCCACTGACAACGGTTGAGCGACTAGGCGTCGCCGTCCGTCGAGCTCGACTCCTCCCAGATAATCGGGTCGTCAATCACCACGTCCGTCACGTCGTCATCAAAGATCGGGTCGTCAATGATAATGTCGTCATGCTCTGTCGACGCACCCACCGCGGTCGGACCGCACCACTTGAAAATCGCGTTCGTGCCGCACTGCTCGGCTGTCCAGCCCACAAAGCACGCGTCGGTCGTCGCATAGTAGCAGTTGGTGCACGAACCACACCCGCTGCTCGGTGGGCTCGTCGGCTTGGTGGTCGGAGCCGTCGTTGGCTTGCTCGTCGGCTTGGTGGTCGGAGCCGTCGATGGCTTACTCGTCGGCTTGGCGGTCGGCTTGGCGGTCGGTGTCGGGCGGCTCGTAGGACCAGTGGTAGGCTTGGCCGTGGGCTTGTCAGTCGGCTTGGACGTGGGCTTGTCAGACGGCTTGGGCGTGGGCTTGTCAGACGGCTTGGGCGTGGGCTTGTCTGATGGAGCGTCCGTGGGCGTCGCCGACGTTGGCTTGGGCGAGGCTGACGTTGGTTGCGGTGAGGCCGACGTCGGGCGCGGACCCGGGTTGTTGCCGCCGAGACTGTCGATCGCCGCGCGCGCCGGCTTGGAGAACGCGTAGCCGTCCGCCTTGTCCCAGTTGATGCTCCACGTCATGATGCCGCG